TCTCTCTCGCACCCAAACGGGACGCCCCATGAGCGCGAGGGAGACAGAGCGACGACGACGACTCTCGCAGCCAGCCTACAGGGGCGGCCGGGGGGCAGGACGCCGCGCCGGCGCCACGTAAATCGAGGGAACGCGGACCCCTCCCCCTCCCCTCCGCCACCACAACAACGGTCCAAGTTGGCAATCACGCTGCGAGATAGCGAGCGACGCGGCACCATGAATACGCACTAGTACGCGGCGTGGCGGCCGTGGCGCCGGCGCGCGGTGGAGTAGACGTTACCGCGCCACTCAGCCACGCCGCGGCGGTTCATGCCTACGTCCAGCACCACGACGGCCGCCACGGCCTCCACGACCTCCAGCAGAGGTACTCCTCCACTCCACGGCGTCCCGGGCGGCCCCGGTGCCGAACGGCCGAATCTTCTTGTCTGCACTCGGCATGCATAATGCAAGGGCCAGGCGGGCCAGTCCTCGGCCGGGCCGTGGCGGGCTAATCCAATCCCCCTGTATCGTATTTCAGGGCGGCCCGGCCCCGCCAGGCCAGGCACAGCGTGGCATGGCGAGTGCTAATTGCGATTCAGAAATGCATGCCGGGCGGCGGGGCGGGAAAAAGAAAGGCCGCGGCCGACGGGGAGGGGAGGGGGGAGGGGGAGGGGAGGGGGGAGGCAGCGAACATACTGCCGCGCCGAAAGGGGACCCGCCCGTTGGGGAAGGCGTCTAAGCCTTCAGTAAATTTGCCTTAAGTAAATTTTCCCTTCTAAAGAAATGCTTTTCTCTTAGCAATTACCGCTTACTTCACTTGACTAACCTACTTGCTCTACTCTTGACACGACCCGAGCGCCCCCCTCCCCTCCCGGCCTGCTCCACTCCACTCCATCCCTCGCATCGCGGAAGGGCTTTTTCGATTTGTCTCGACTCTCACTGCACTTTATCGTGCCTCCACCAGAGAAAAACGCGCCGGCGGGGCGTTTGTCTGACAGTCTCAGTCAGTCAGTGTGCCTGCCTGCCTGCCTGTTCGTCCGTCTGTTCCGTGTAGCCTGTCACCGTGGAGCAGCCGCTCTTCCCGCGCGCACCGCACGTCCCATTAATAAAATGCAGACGAGACGCGGCCAGACCGTTCCAATATGTATCACCGCAAACACGCGCGCGCTCACACACACACAAACACACACACACACACAGACGCACAGAGTACCGCCTTCAATCAATTTCACTGGAATGGAAAAATACATGGCGCGTCCGAAACCTGCCGGCGAAATGACAAAGCCGCGTGCTCTGTAGATCCTACATGCGGCACACCGTAAGGGAGAGGGCCTTGCGCCGCAGGTGTGTGTGTGTGTGAGTGCGCCTTCACTTGGACGGGCGAACAAAGAGAACGCCCTGGGCGTCATGGGAGGCAGTGCAAGCTCTCCAGCCGGCTGGCCAAGGCCCACTGCGTGAGGGCTCAGCGTGACGAAGGGCGTGACAAAAGGTGTGACGAGCGTGTAACGTAACCAGGGATGTGGACGTAAGAGATGTGACGAGGGGTGTGACAAGGAACGTGACGAGGGCGCACGGAAAACAAGAAAACGTGACAGAGGCAAGTGCTTTCACGCCAGCGTGCTGTAGACGACGAGGGGGCGGCGCGCTGAGTGAAGGCACGGCTTCTCGCCACGAGGCGCGACTTACTCGAGTTTGTCTTTGTTTTTAAAGCGAGGCTGGGCGGCGGCAGCGCGAGGGTAGGGGTGGGCGAGTGGGTCCAAGAAGGTGCAAACAGCCGCCGGGGGGATCAAAGTCCCACGCGCTTTCGCCTGCTTCCGACCTCGGCTCGCCGAAACGACAGCGACAGGGACGGCGACACAAAACCGAAAGCCCCGAAACCGCAGCGAACGGTCCGCGGCATTATGTAAAGCCGCGCGGAAAGCGCAGAAAGCGGGCGATCCATTACAAACGGCGTGTCACGCGCATGCGCCATTAGCCCGCCGATTCAAGTATTGCATTCCGAACATTACAATCGCCGGGCGCCATTACCCCAGAAAGGGCGTCTAAATCACGCATCACGGCCGCCAAAGGCCAGCGGGTCAAGGCTCCCATGTGGGCCGATGTCGGCTCCGTGGAGCACTGCGCTGCCGGCACACTGGCCACCACGCATTGGCGGGGAGGGGCGGCGGGGCGCCAATCCCATTTATTCAAATAATACGCCATGCCGGTCACGATCCGCGAGGCCGTGACTGCCGTGACGCCGTGACGCGGCACTGTGACGAGGCCGGCCGTCACGCGCGCCGCTGACGTGTCGGACGTGGCCAGCGCCCGAGCCGGCGCCACCCCACCGTCAACTAATTACATCCAGCGCCTGGCACTCCATGAGCGAGACAGAGACAGAGCGTCGGAACGCCTCCTCGGAGTCACAGTCCGCCGACGCGGGGGAGAGGGAGGGTCGTCCGGGAGCCCACCTCGGCACCGCGGCCCAACAGGTGCCGCCCTTGCCGCCAGACTGAACCCTCAGCACCGCGCAGCGCCCCCGGCCCGGGGCCCCGCCAGCACTCACGACAAACTCGAGGAAGCGGGAACCACGCCATGGAGCGCGTCACGGCGCGGCAGGACTCGACGGCAGCAGCGAGCGGAAAGAAACGAAAGCATAGCAGGGCCCGTTCTGCTCTGCTCCGCCCCCTTTTAATGCTTTTAGTCTTCTGGTTTCCGCAAGGCGGCGGCTGCACCAGCTATCTCCGCTCTAATTGCCAAAACAAGCGCGCGGGACAAAATGAAAGAGGCGAGATTTAAGAGGGCGGAGACGGGCGGCGCGGCGCGGCGGCGGGGACGCCTCTTATCAGACGCCCGGCCGTTTGGCGGCCCCTTCCATGGTTTCCATTTGCATGGAGCGCCGCGGCGCGCTGTCTCTCTCGCACTCATGGCGGCATGCGGGTACTCCGTACAGGTGCGAGAGAGACAGAGCGACAAAACGACTCATCATGCAGCTCGGCTTATCGCCATGGCGCGAGAGCGCGTCGCGTTTGGAGGATCGACGGCGACCCTGGAAAAAACGAGGCGGCTCCTGCGTCCACCGTCCACCCTCCGGCGACAACAACCAGACCGCGTTCGTGTTGGAGTGGAGCGCGGGCCGGGGCGTCGTCGGCCGCGCTGCCGCACCACGGCGTCGCTGGCCTGTTGCGCGAATCGGCAAAGTTCTGACAAGCCCGATAATGGGGCGGGGCGGGGCGGGGCGGGGCGCCTCAGCCGGCGATGAACGGCTACTCGGGGCCGCAGCGGCCTTACCGCAACCCGGTACCCGGCCGACCCAGCGCGGCAACTTGGGCAGGCCAGACACTGCGATGACGCCGCGCTGTGCGACACAGCTGCTGAGTGATGATGATTCCCCGGTCCGTGCGGGGCGTCCCCAGAGGGCCCCGCTGCCCCGCCGGAACTGCCGGAACTCTGACAGGGGACGGGACAAGGCTGCAGCCCCGCGGGCCAAGCCGCAGGACCTACGGCACAAGACGCGCCGCCGCGCCACTCCGCAGCTTCGCTCCTGGAATAAATCCAGACGCGCTGCTCTCTGCAGGTTCATTCCGAACGGTGACTCTGTCTCTCTCGCACTCATGAGGCGTCCCGTGGCGGTGCGAGCGAGACGACGGCGGGGTCACGGGGCCGCCCCTGCGCGGCCCGCGGCCCGTGGCACGGTGCGCGCGCAGCGCATAAATTTGTCAAAGTTCGGCACAACACAAGGCGTTTTGATAAACGGCGGGATAAAATGATAAAATGTGCAGCCAGCTTCAGCTCTGCCTCTGGTTTGCGTGTTTTCGTGTTTGCGTCCTCCAACCCCACAGCGCACCTGTTCCGCCGAGTCAGTCTGGGCTGCCCGACGGGCCCCGTCGCCTCTCATGCTGCCGCCACTGTCGCCCGCGGCATGACTCGAGACTCCATTTCGAGTGTCGCAGATGAGGTCGTGGAACTTGGGGACTCTAATCAAACGCACCGCGGCAAGGCCGCACACCGAGGCCCCCCTCTCGAGTGACTCCGTCGGAGCCCCGCCACGGCTCCACCCACGCCATTACCGCGACACGGCCTGCACTGCCCGAACTCCGACGGCCTGCTGATACAGGGCGGCGCATCGCTGCCACGCCCCCAGACGTGTGCCGTGCCGCGTTGCCCGGCGTTGCCGCGAAGCACCGAACGTGACCTGACTGATGTGGCCGCGTCTGGCCGCGCTGCCCGTCAAAGTGATAACGCGAATCCCCGGCGGCAGATAGCCTGCTCCTGCTCCTCGCCAGCGGCCGGCGCCGACAGCCCGGCACCCGCAGTGCAGGGACCCCCGCCTCCCGCCGCGGACGTGCACGTGCGCGCGAGAGAGAGGGACTGAGAGAGTGTGCGTGAGCTCGGCCGCGATGTCGGCGTCGCCGACGACAGCAGCCAGGCAAAGCGGATTCTGAATGGTAAGCGCGCGGGTAGTTCCGCGCCGAGGCCGACGAAAGACTTGGACGATACCAGGGTAACGTTGTTGCATTCGCTGCATTCGCGCGCCCGAGAGTGCGAGGCTGCAGTCCGTCGTCGCTGCGTCTCGCTCGCACTCGTGGGGCGTGCCGTATAGGTGCGAGGAAGACACAGCGGCGGAAAAGACTCGGAATGAGTCTGCTGGTTGAGTGTGCCAGTGTGCCTGCGCCAGGCGGGCCGGGGCGCCTCAAAGCCGAGCACCGCTTTGAGGCTGCCTGGGTTCCTGGATGCCTGGCGCCGCGCGCCGCCTGAGCTGCCTCGCTGACGGCTGAGTGGATCGGCGGCGCGGCTCCCTGCGGGACGCGGGGATTATGGAGCGGGATCGGCGCGTGAGTGTGGGACAGTGGGCGGCGCCCAAAGCGACCAGAAAGGCGTCGGTCATCAAACCGTGTCGAACCAGTGGCTGGCCGGCCGGCACGGCTTCCACGTCGTCGTGCCCGCCGCGGGGGCGGGTGCGGCACTGCTCAGCGGGAATGACTCGACCTAGGCCGCGGCCATCATGTCTGTGTTGACTTGTTCCAGGCGGCCGGGCAGGCGCACGCCGCCGGCTGAAGGCGGCGGGGCGGCGGGGCGGCTCGACCCGGGGGCGGGGAGACCCACATGGAGCCCGACGAGCCGCCCCCGACGGGGCTGTGGGTGGACGCTGCCATCGTCGCCAATGAGACCAACGTAAGGACCTGCCACGACACTGTCACCTTCCATGACTGCCAACCCAGGGCAGCCCAAAAAGCCTCATGACGCTCCTGTCCGTTGCAGTGCTCCGCGCTGCCGCTGGCCAGCCTGCCCGCGTACCAGCCGCAGGTGGACCCCACGTACGCGCGCGTCGAGCTGTACTGCGCCGCCACGCTCATCATGGTGTGCGCCGTGTCCGTGCTCAACAACGCGTGCGTGCTGCTGTCCACGTGCTGGATCAAGCGGCGCCCGCTCTCCATCACCATGCGCATCTCCCTGTCGCTCACCGGGGCCGACACCATCGCCTCCTTCCTGCTCGGCGTGTCCTGGTTCATCAACAACATCCTCAACACGCTCGTGCCGCCCGACCTGGACACCTACCTGCCGGTAAGACCACCCGTGTTTTTCAGTCATCCCTTTTACTTTGTAGATTCCCCTACACTGGTGTTGCTGGCGTTGCAGATCTGGCACGAGACGCAGTGCGTGCGCTACGCCCCCGAGCGGCTGACGTGCGTCAAGCTGGCCCTGGAGGCGCTGCGGCTGGGCGCCGTGCTCGTCACCATGCTGCACCTGCTCGCCCTCGCCTCCAACCACTACCTGGGCGCGCTGCGGCCGCTGCACTCGCACGTGCGGCACGCCTACCTCGTGGTGGGCCTCACCGCCATCTGGATCGTGCCCGAGGCCGCGCTCTTCGCCTACTTCTCGTCCTTCGAGGACGACGGCTTCCGCGCGCAGGGCAACTGCGGCTACAAGTAAGCCGACCCGGCCCAAGTTTCGGGACGACGGAATGCGATTGGCCCGTCTCTGTCTCGTTGCGTGGCCAATAAGATCGGGCGCTCGGCGCTCATCAGTCTCCCGTGACGTCTTGACACTAAACCCGCCGCAATTCGGGGCGCGGGGCGGCGCGGGGCGGCGCGGTGCGCATCGTACATCCCGACGCGTCGAGTGGCAGCGCCGAGCCGCGGCGCCGGAATGGAAAACAACACAATAACGAAACCGCGGTGTGCGCAGGTTCCTGACGCAGTACGGCTTCCACATCACCTTCTCCCTCACCTTCTTCTTCGTGCTCATCCTCATGATCTGCATCTACGTGCACATCTACATCATCGTGCAGCGGCACGAACGCAACCGCCACCGCTTCCGGCGCACGGGCTCCAGCCACCAGCGCGCCGAGCTGCGGCACCTCAACGGCAGGGCCGAGGCCAAGGCGGACGCCCGGGCGGAGGGCCGCGCGCACCGCCAGGGTCAGTGTCAGTCCGTCACTGTCAGAGTCACTGTCAGAGTGAGAGGCAGCGTCAAAGTCAGAGTCAGTGTCAGAGTCAGTGCCGGTGTGGGTCGGCACGGACGCCTGCGAGCCTGCGAGGTAGACACGCCCGCGGCGCTGCTCCGTCAACACAAACGTCGCCGTCTCTCTGGCACCCACACGGGGACCTCTGAGGGCGGCAGAGACGGCGACAAAACGATTCTTCGGAATCGGCCTGCCCGTCGGCGCCCTCGCTAACGCCTTTCTGATTGCAGTCCAGCGCACGGCCACCGACCCTGGAGGCCCTGGAGGGTGGGCGTCGTCGGGGGGCTCCCTGCCGGAGTCCGTTGGCGCCGAGCCCAACGGCCACGCCAGCCACGCCACGGCGGCGGCCAGCCTCATGCGCGGCAGCGGCGCGCGGTCCCGGAGAGGGGGTAGGTATTCTTGGGACAGTCGCGTTAAGTCCGACCAACTCGAGGAAAGACCTGGGTTTAAAATTAATTCACGAATCGGGGAAAGTTTCTTTTCCGCGAGCCCCTGAAAGGCCATTGCTGGCACAGGGTAAGAAAGCGGCCCCGCGAATCGAACTGCCATTAAAGCGAGGGTCGTGTTTCACTGTTTCACTGTTCCAGGCTCCCCGGCGTTCCGACGCAACAAAAAGGCCATCAAGACGACCCTCTTCATCCTGGGCTCGTACCTCATCGGCTGGATGCCGGCCGTCGTGTCCTTCATGCTGGTGTGCGACAAGGACTGCCTCATCCCGCGCGACACGCTCGACTTCAACTCCATCTACACCGTCATCGTCTTCTGGTCCTTCAACATGCTCATCGTCATCAAGACGCTGGCCAACTCCTTCATCTACACGTCGCGGATGAAGGACATCAAGGTGCACACCAACTCCCACCGTGAGGCCCGAGACAGGTTCTGGAGAGGTAACCCTGACGGCCTTCCTGTCCCTGCCCGCAGGACGCTCGTCGCAGCATGTGCAACGCGCTGGCGCGTCGCTGCTGCCGCTTCCTGCCCCAGTCGGCCGACCCCGCGCGGGGCGCGCTCTTCGGCGGCCCCCCGACGGAGACCACGTGCGGCCCCGTGGGGGGCATGGCCGGCATGGCCGCCCTGGGCCCCGCCATGGGCAGGGACCGCGCCTCCCTGTACTCGCGGTCCTCCACGCGGCGCCTGCACGTCAACGGCCTGGTGCACAACAGGCGCATGGCGCAGTCGGACGTCTAGGTGTACGGCGTTTGGACACCTTGGACTGTTTGGACACCTTAGCCGCCAACGCCCTTACTGCACCCGCCGAGGCCCCCGCCCTAGGCCAGTGAACCAGAGTGCCAATAAACTACCAGTATCCCCTCCGGAACCGATGGACTTCCCTAGCAAGCGGGGAACGAATTTTTGCGTGAGTAGGCACAGATTGAACTAGATATTAACGTTCAGAAATGGACGGCAGTCGTGCCTCTTCCGGGTGAGCCCGTTTCGAAATCGACCGACAGGCCCCCTACCCACAACGAAAGATGCTGTGTTGGTAGCACTGTTCGTGAGTGACTGCTGACTGGTTGTTCAAACGGACTTTCGACAAGAACCACACCACTCGCCACCAAAGGCTCAAAAACTTCTTCAGAGCAGGCTCACCTACAGTGCGTGTAACCTTTCAAATTTTCACAAAATATCTGGCATGAAAAGAATCTGAGAGCAGTGGGAAATGGAAGCTTTCAATTCAATTGTTTTGGACCTTTCAGAAATTATTTCAAGAAAAATTGTGAATAAGTACAGGATAGCATTACAGTGCCAAAGATAAGCTCTGGATTTGACCATTGTAGAAAATACCCTTCTTTTCCACCGTGTTAAAGACATGAAACAATGATTACCTTCAGTTTCAAAAAAAGGGGAAGCTGCTCTCAGAGAATACATGCTTGATATTATTAAATGTTATTTTTTTACTTAAAATTATACCTTCTTTTGTATTAACTTTACTGTTTATGATGTTTACTCTCAGCCAAACCCTTTCCTTATTTTCAAACCATTGTAGATAAATAGATTAGGGGAAAAAAATCTCTCATAATGCAGTACTATAAAATCAAATCATTGACACAAAGAAGTACAAAATGTGAATGTGATAGGAGAGAAGCAAATGTTTTGCAAAGCAGACTAATGGATGACTGAAATAAAGCAAGAGTGATTAAGTGTGTTTGCAGTCTTAACTATGGCAAAGGGCTGGCTTTACATTACCACCAAACAAAAATCTTTGAAATTGGAGGACTTACCTTCCATCCACAGCAGGAATGAATTTGGCTGCAATCCCCAATTCTCGAAGAGATGTCTCCATCCGAGATCGTCTTTCTGGTCTTCTCTCCAGATTTATGACATATATCTCATCAAATCCAAGAGTGTCTGCTTCTGGGTAGATGACATATTTAGCCATAGCCTCACTTAATGGCAATGGATCAAATTCAGCTGAAAGATTGCAAATGGAGATGAGTGATTAATTGATGATAAAGTTTCCCTGCCAACTTGCAAAAAAACAGAAGCATGAATTACTCACCAAGAACTTCAACTTTAAGGTTTGTGAGCTGCTCATAATCAGCATGCAGTTGGTCATTTTGTTCAAGAGGAATCATAACAAAACCATAGTTTATATCATTACAAACAAAAAGAGGAATATCTGAGAAACAAAAATAAAATTTACAATAGTGGTACATAAGCATCAGAATAACTTGAGTATTTCAAACAGACTTACCAGATTTATTTGCTCCAACAGCAAACGTAATTATGTCATCATGTGGTCCAGAATAACTAGTAATTTTCTCAGGTAAAAAAGTAAGTTTGTTGGAAAGTGCTTTCCGTAGATCTACTAAAACTGACGAGTGTATCATTGGTACATGGAAGCATCCAGTTCGCTCCCGATAGTAGATTGGTTGATAATCATCAGTCCTCTTGTAATAATATTCATCCGTCATTCCACACCAAAAGTTAGAATACATTCCATCAGATGCCAACATAGGTGCAACAACAACTTTGTCTTTTTGAATCAGCTCTTTCAAGGAATTGGGGTCAATAATAAACACATCACTATCCAAAAACTGAAAAGAAGATCATCAATCATGTTTGAAATTATGAAGTTTAGACAAGAACAGAAAGTAGCATGTATAAGTAAAGACTACAAACCCAGACATAATCCGCCCACATATTTCTGGCTGTTTCCAGAGCTTCCTCTCTCAATTGTATCACATGGGTGAACCGAAGTGGGGTCCAATGGGCCGGTCCATTTTCATCTGCCATACGATGTGGAGGTGACGACAAGATTTCTGAATTGATTGAGTGATAGTCATACTGTTTTTGAGCAGTGGATATCCAGCCCCGCAATACTTCCGGCGTGTTGTCTTCATTGTGGTCACTGCGAAACCTAAATGCGACAAGAGAACAAGGACATGCATCATTTCAGTACCAATGTAATCAAGCTACCGGCACCCATAACCTCAACCAATTTGATTACAACAAGCGAGTTTGAGTTCCATGACAATGTTCAAAATCATGAAACTTACCATAACGAGATTCGGGACTTGGGGTAATCTAGTTTCTCTAGAAGTGTTAAAAAGTATGGCAGAGTATGGGCTTTATTTCTAGCAAGAACAGCCACCATGACAGTGGGCGAGTTTCTAAAACTACCATTCTCTCCTTCAGAACTTTCTCCGTAGATTGCACTGCAGCGGGTGTAAAAAGTAAATATCAAGTACATACACAGTGTACGAAATTTCATTTTTAACAACGCCCACACAGCTGAACTTGTTTATCAACATCAACACGCCGGTACTATGAGAATCTTCTGTGTACCTGAGATCACCTGGAATGAGAAACTCACAGGTATCAACAGCCTGGCAATTGGCGCCAATTTCGAATATTAAGTGTGGAAGGATGTAGACAACCCTGATTGATACATCCAAGAGGATGATTAACTTCTTTTTCTCTGTTTAGATAATGTCAATAGCTTTGTGTGGCAGTGTGTATTCATTCAGAAGGGACAGGCGAAAAGTTAAGACATAATACATTGGGGTCATATATTTTCTAGATTGTACAAGTAAATTCATAAATAACATCACGCAGTTATACACATAACAGCCATAATAATATAATCAGTAAAATATGGGTAAGTGATTAGAATTGATTCCTAAAGGCACGTTGGTCATAGATCTTAAATCACATACAAAGAAAAAATTAATCTAGGGAAACCTCTCTCTTTCTTTTGACTTTCTTGCCTCGTATCTTCTCATTACGGTTCTTTTTCTGCACCTTCTTTCTAGCTTGCTTCTGAACCCTCCGCTTTGCAGCTTTCTCTGGTTCTACAATAGCCTAAAAAACAAAGTAACACATACAAAATTAGTAAAAAAGAAAAAGAAAACATGAATCTGCTTGTACAAAACAAGATATAACAAATAATTTTACCTCTTGTTTGCGCTTCATCTTGCGTTCAGCACGCACTGTTGTAATTTGAGATTGAAGACGTGACTGTGCCAGGATAAATATTTCGGTGCCAACAGTCTTTTTCAGTAAACTTCCTACTTGTTTGGACAAAAGACGTAATTGTGCCGTTTCACTTTCATCCGGAACAGGCTCATCGCTTGAAAGTTCGCGAACGATTGGGGCAAGCAAATGGTGTAAAACTGGCTTTATATGTTCTGCACCAAGTTTTACAACAACAGCAGCAGTCCAGTTCAGTACCATTGTCCTCTGCAGCAAGAACAAATTTTCAGAATTATTTTGTGGAAAATAAATGTACAGTACAGTAGTATTACATTATTTTGGGGAAAAAAAAGAAAAAAAAATGGACTCAATAACATTACTTACCAGAACAGTTGACTTCGGCGCATGGACCACTTCCATGTTTACAACCCTCCTCATGCGCTTCACCAGCCATTGAAGTGAAATTGTCTTTTGGTTTCCTCCAGCATCAAGTTGCTCTTTTAAAGCTGAATCCTCCTCATTAATATCTTTCAAAACATCAGCAAATATCACAAGATTTTTTACAATCTGCAGTAATAATTCCTGTGCGACTTCCGTTCCAGGCACTAACTGAGCACAGTGATCTAATATCATTGATTTTAATTTCTGGGTGGTATCTATGCTGAAGAATCCCAATTCATTACTTTCAACTTCCTCATCTGTGATGCTTTCTTCCCTTACAGCTTTGGCAAGAGACTCAACATTCATAGCACCAAGGATGTGGGTAAGTATTTGAGCGGCTGATAGTCTCACCCATTCATGAGGGTGAGCGAGCATGCATTGGGTATATTCAGTGAGACTATAAACATGGGTACTAAACTCAGCGGTAGATAGCCACACAGGGCAGTAATTACATATCTTCAGAACAAACTGCAGTAACTGATACACGTAGTGATCCTTCGGCCTTTCAGATTCTGAGGCAAGTTTCTTTTCTCCATTCTCTCCATCCTCATTACTTGAGGTCAATGAAGATGGAGCTCTCACAAATTGTCCAGGTACATATGCCTTCTCATTCTCGAATGATTGGAACTGTGCTGTGACTGCAGGAAGAACTTCTTTCAAACGGCGTTTAAAGGTTTCTTTTTCAAGAACAACAAAAATTCCACAAAGCTGGGCACCAAGTCTACGATGTGACATCTCTTTATCTTTGAGCCACACAAAGGCAATGTTGAACAATCTATCACGATCATTTTGACTTAGTCTGCCAAGCATTTTACTTATACATTGTGCAACCATTTTTCTGCAATCTGGAGCATCATCATTGACAAGTCTTGCTCCCAACATTAAGAAAAACAATCCAGATTGTGCTGTGAGAACACCCTGAGGGAAAGTGCAAATAACAGAGTTCACCATCTCTAATGCAGATTCTCGACCAGGCTGTAGTTCGTAGTTTAATTGGGATAGATAGAAGGAAAGGTGCTTTTCCAATTTTTTTCCTAGAGGATAGTCAGTTAAGAACTGATGGAAGACTGATCTTGCTTGAGCTCTTATATGATCAAGATCTGAAGTTATGCTCAAAGTTGCTACCCTGTTCATAACATCATGAATCTCAGGGGCAATTAATTTTCTTGAGAGAATAGCTTTTAAGAGGGCAAATGCAGTGGCGTGCTTGTGAGAGTCAGCAATATCCTGCTCAGCATACAATAGCAATGCCTTCAATTGATCTTGATCTAGAACATAATAATGTACTTCTCTCACAAGAACTGCAACAGTTTTGAAAGCAGCAACAACGAGATCGAAATTGTCTCCCTTGCTCAAACCAGCAGCAGCAAACTTGTGTAGCAAACCAAACATTAATGCTGCTATGGATGATATGTTGCTTTGCAAACTTGGGAGATCCATTCTTAACAGACAGCTAAGGCACTGCAAAGATATCGTACTCAGTTTAACATGTTGTGATGACAAGCAATCCTTCAGAAGTGGTATAAGTGGATCTACAAGAGGACGAAGATCTTCCACAGACCCTTTCAGCTTTTCATGCTTTAAAAGGTGAGCAATCAGTCTTAACCCAAATTCTACAAACAGGTGAGCGTTCATTCTTGCTGCCACCCTTGCAGAGTCAGAGCTGGTAATGCCCAAGCGTTGCTTTGGTGCCTCTTTGATAAGAAAGCAGTCAGGACGACGGCGGGCTTCCCTTTCTTTCTCCTTAGCAGTTTTAGTCTGACATTCCTTTAGTGCAAGGGCAGGGATGCTTTCACTAGCAACACCCACGGCAAAGACAAGCAGTGATGGGGGTGAAATCATAGCATTCTCCGATAAGCCTGTCACAATGAGACGTAAACATTCACTGGCTCTATTGACTATCTTGTGAGAATGAGCAGTTTGGATGATTTGTTTGAATGGGATCAAGAGATTTGTAAGGTGGTTTTCACTAACATATTGAGCAACAACCTGAAGAGTGTTGTAACTTTTGTTGCTTTGAGCCTCACGCACTTTGACAGCTACTTTGCCTTCTTCTTTTTCCTCAGCAGCATAGCCAAACAAATCGTGTTTGCAAACCTCAATTATGTAGGGCAGACTATCATCAATATCTCCAGGTCCAAAAACGTTCTTTAAGGAAACCAAAACAGAATGAATTGTGAATACTAATACATGAACTTGATAGCCTCTGGTCAGGAGTGATGTCATTTCTTTCAGGAGTGTACTCAGATAAGAGGGGCCAAGAGACACCATCACTTTTTGCAATGTTTCTCTGGTAACACGCCTGACAGACTCCAAACGAGCCTTTAGAAACGTGCACAACTTTGCAAAAACACCTGGTAAGTTTTTGTCAAGCATATCCTTGGGCAGCCTCTGCAGAAGTTTCACCACAGCAAATGCCATTGGCACTCTAAGAATCTCCTCTTCTTCAGCATCATGATCGTCATGAGTATTTCTTAGCTGCTTTTTGTTCACTTTGTGATAACTATCAGCCAGTGAGCGGGCAGTAAGTTCATTGCGCAGCAGAGGTAAAAGCCCGACTCTAATAGTTACAGTAACACGAAGTGCTGCTGAGGGACAAAGAACAAGCTGGCGCTCGACAGCAGGAACTGCTGTCTGTGGTTCAACTTCATCCACATCCATAGCATCTTCATCCTCTTCAGAACCTTTTGATTCAATTTCTAATTCATTTTCTTTGTCAGGTTCTAGAGCTTCCACCAAATCTTCAATGGGTTTTTCTTCACCTTCACCATCATTAATTTTGGCTCCCATATCAATTGCTTTTTCTTCCTCGACGTTTAATTTATTGTCATTGCTGTTTGCTTTTACTTTATTGGCAAATTGAGCCTTAGAGAGGTCAAAGTGGAAAGAATCAAGAATGTTCATAACTATCCGAACCAACTGCTTTTGATACACTGAGCTTGCTCTTAGTTTCCCTAGATAGTATCTCAATAAGGTTTCATAATTGTGCCATGGCAGCAAGCGTGCAACAATTCCCATTACCTAGAAATAAAATACAGAACAGCTTGTTTAAGGATGAAATAAACAACAAAAATGATGAAATAAAAGCTATGAGTAACACATACTTGGATGCTAGCATCAATTAAACTGTTTTTTCCAGCATGTTTTTCAACACAGAGAAACTGAGTGGCCAGGGGTAAAATAAACTGGGTCAGTGATCGAGAAGAAGGTGTCTTCTCAACTTTTCCAAACACTTCACAGACTCTGAAATTATTAAAAACATAATTATTTAGTTCTACATACCGATAAAAAAGAAAACTTAACAGCAGGGATCAGAAAGTCTTACTTAAGGAGAGCTCTGGTTTTCCTGTGAAACTGTAAATGCTGCAAGTTTTCAAAGAAGTCAACTTCCATGTCCACTTTATTAGTCAAAAGATTTAGATCCCTGAGAACAGGATGCAAGTGTCCACATTCTCTAGCCTGTAAATGAAATATATTACGGTAATTGAGATTAGAAAAACATGACCAAGAGAACAAGAAGTTTCAAAACATTAGACTTACCAATTCCCCTAGAAGAAGAACAGCCTCTGAATGAGCATTTTCATTGCTATTCCGCCTAATGTTATTGCTTATAAGAGTCAATAAGGTGGTATCCAGAAGGAATTTACATGTCTCTGCATCATCACTGTGCTGGTTACATAGTGTGGGTGCAACCCGACGTAGGCAATGAGAAGCAAAATCTCTCAAGGACATATCTTTTTCCTGTAAAACATTTTAAAGCAATTCAGTATCACATAAAAACTTAGAAAAAAAAACATATTGCAGTAAATTACAGTATTCCACATTGAAAGTAATTACCTCACGGATAACATAAAAGCAGTGATGAACAACAATAACTCCTAAATCCACCGACAGTTTACCCGAGTCCAATAAAGTTTGCACTGTTTTAAATGCTTCGAGACGAGTGTCGAAGTCTGGTTGTTCAACCCAACGCTTATCAAATGCATTTAGGTTGGATGAAATTGTGGCCATTTGTGTCATCTCCTCTTTTGCATTTTTATCTAAAGAAGCCCTAGTTTCTGCTATGGTGTTTACAAGAGAAAGCAGCATTTTACGGCCAGGTACACCATTAATGCAGCTGAATAATGAAGCTATGGGTCTGCAATTTCATGAAAAAGTCATAAAAAAGAATTAGCAACAGTTATTTTTCCCCCTTTAAGTTTAAGACAAGTGCTTCATGTTATGCTACTTTCATACCTTGTGTAAACTGATGGATCTTTGATATTCCTCATCAAATGATTGAGTGTACTCATCATCCTCAACATGGTCTCCTCTTCTTCATTGGGTGCAGTGATACGCCTTGTCAGTATAGGCACAAGAAGTTCAGTCAAAGTGGCGCTATACTCTGGAGTCCTTACAAACTCTGACACACATGAAAGGACATGTAACTCCCGCTTGTTGAGGCCAGACCCACGTTTCCCGAGTGAAGCCAGTCGAATTCTAAACCGCTCTAAAATAGAACTTATATGAGGGAACAAAAGTTTACTTCCAAGATTTACTTCTTCAGACACTGCAGGCAAGGAGAACAGAGATACATCAAACTACTTAGTATGTATTTTAAATTGGAAAAAAAAAAATACTTAACTTTAAAATACTTACAGCTTAACGATTTCATTTTAATTTCATTTAAAGTAAGAACATGAGAGAGGGGAATAGGTGGAGCACGCTCTTCCAAATAAGTCTCATCAACCTCCATGTCATTTTCATCTAGTTTGCCATGGTCTTTCAACGTATACAAGTTCTCTAAGATTTCCATAATGACATTACTAACTGAATGATTGGTTTTAGAGCCAAGCAGTAATTTCATTAATGCTGACAGTGGATTGCTTTCTGATGAATCAGGGTCATAGCTTCCAAAAAGAATAAAATATCTAAAAAGCAAAGATTTTTTAAATTAATTGACCATAAAATTATACATTAACATCAATACAAGACACAAAACAATCAATTTTGCACAAACCTTGGGTGTTGACTCCAAACCAGAAACAGTTTCATTAAGGCAGTTGGGCTGTGTATTCCTTCCACTGGTAGATTATTGACAATAGGCATAATAAACACTTGCAGAACAGTATCAATCTCAGCTGTGGTCCAAGGATAAGCTTCAAATCGGTCAAAAAATTGAGTGAGAACTTCTATACATGATGTGCGAAGTTCCCGGATTGCTTTAAGATATCCAGAGTGTATGTTGTCCCTAACAAACAGATGATCAAATTTAAAAAATTTGAATGGTGTTAAGGACTTTTATTAACTTGATTCATGTACGTAATATCAAATCTACCTTTCTTTAAAAAATCCACCCACTGTTGCAGCAACACATGTTAAGAGTTGCAGAGTCAGAGACAACAAACGATTTCCCATCAAACCGCCGAATTTCTCCAGCACAACAGACAGCAAATTGACAGCACTTTGTAACCGTCGAGGAGGCACAACTTTCTCCAGGTCTATGCTAGTTTGAATTGAATTCACCATGACACCAAGATCATCTGTAATAAAAAGCAAAGAGAGGAATTGTTGCCAGAAAATAATCTAACCCACAGAAAACATATTTAACACAGTCTGCTGGAATAAGAACCAACCTTGTAAATACTGATCAAAGAATTTGAAAGCCATCTTCATAAAGATCAACATTTCATCTTCGTGGCAACCTGCAAGGAAGCGCAGGACAAGGGCACGGCGCACACCTGGTCCAGCCTTCCCACCAGTCCGCATTCCAGCCTTAGCTGTCATTTTGCTATACACTAATCTCATAACAATTGGAATCAGTTGAGTTCTATGTTCTTCCTGGATAACACCTGAATCCTTGTCTATTTTGAATTGAGTAATTTCATTCTTGAACGACTTTTGATCAATGAGTGCAAACAAATGAACTGTATATGGAACCAAATATTTATGCTTGTATGTGAGAATGCACTCAAGAGCAGCTTTCTGAACATCAGGGTGCTTGTGTGATAGTAAATCATGGTAGACTTGATTTAGCTCAGGTTCTCTAAATATTGTACGAGGATTGTGAAACTTTGAAAACAGCTGAAGGTTTGCTAAAAGTATCCTGCAAAGCAAATATTTGTTAAAAGAATCTCAAAAACTCCATCCAGCTATGGAAAGTCAATATTTAACAGAATGACTAACTTTGTACGAAGTTGTGCAGATAGCTTATCTTCAGTTTCTTGGGATTTTGATGCTTTGAGCTTCTTGGGCCTGGTCTCTTCATCTTCATTAACATCCATGCTCATATCTTCATTACCTCCATCTTCATTTTCAACACCAAATTTCTTTTGTTCGTTTCTATCATCATCCTCATTTTCTTGGTCGTCATCGTCGTCATCATCATCATCATTGTCATCCTCATGGTCATCTTTTTCATCATCATCGTCATCCCCATCGAAGTTGAAAGCAGCAGATGCAGCATCATGCTTCTTTATGTCCCATGATTTAGCAATTTCTGCATTTGATGAATAGAACTCCTGTCTAGAGTTAACAACAAACACAAATTATTATTGTTATCATTGGACATTACTTTTTATTTTCTGAACTAAGATGTTATACTTACTCTATAAATGTGAGAAAAAGAGCTGAAACGTCACGATTCTTTTTCTCACAAACCTCTGGAAAACTATGACCAGCTTTATACAACAATAGCCTATAGTTAGCATAATCCGGTTGATCATCCACACTATTTACAGCCAAGTAGTAATCATCTATTAAATTACCTGTTGTTGTTTTTTTAAACAGAAATTACAAGACATTAGCATAAAAGTGTGCAGCAAATAATGAGACAAGGTCAGGTGGCTTACAGAGCTTACATTGAAACTTGAGTTCAGGAGCAGTTCCATGGAGAGGAGAAAAGTCTCGCTGATGAGTAGCTAAAATTAGCTGACCATGGAAAACGGTCCAGAAATCATCTGTCGTCATGCCAGAGGCAAAAGATGACACAAGAGCTTGAAGGGGTTCCCATAACAACTGGAAATTCACATAAAGTGAACCCAAGATAAAGAGAAGTGGGGCCTGAGAAGGTAAAAAACTTAATGAATTTTCCAATGCTGAGGACGCGCAAACTCTTATCCACAAAGTGACAAAATCAGTCAGTCATACCGTGCTAAAGTTAGCATTTTTGACAAAAATTGGTCGAGTCATATCAAAAGATAATTTTTCAAGAAGTAGGATTTTATCCCTGTAGTCTGTCACTGTACCAGCAATCATCTCAGCCTCAAGACAAATTCGGAACATTGATTGAATTTCTGGTGCAAAAGGGAGATGACAAATAACTCGACAAGCCATTTCTCGGACCTGGGAAAGATAAAAAGTTTGTCGATACTAAAAAATTTAATTGAAAATGGTACATGGAAACAAATCTACATGAAAACATACCAGATGGTGAGAAGCTGCTAAATTATTCTTGATACTTTCATAAATAGACATAGACACTTTTTTAATATGCTTGATATTTTGAAAGTCAATAGAAGATAAATACAAATTCAGAATACGCATGGTACTCAGACGGCAATGGCTTGTTCCTGATAAAGGAAGCAGCGTCTCTAATAATAATTTCATCTCAAGAAAACAATTCAATTCTTTTTTTTCCCCCTGCATATGGATGACAGCTTCCAGGGATGCGAACAACATTAAAAGAAGCAGGGACATTCTTTTCTCAAGATCCACTGAATTACTATCTGTTTCAACTGAAAATCAAGAAAATCAAATTAAATTTGTACAAACAACAACACAAGAACATAAAACTATAAAAATGTGCTCCCTCCCCACTTTTTCCAAAGAAATGACATACCATCATTTGTTGAGTCTGAAATAGATGATAGGTCCTTAATTTCTTTGCACAAGAAATGAACCTGCTTCAGCAGAATATTGGCTGATTCTGTTTCTTTTAAAGGCTTAATATGTGGCAAAACACGAAGAGCATAGATTCGTTCATTAAAAGTCTTGCAAAAATTCACGACATCCAACTTTTCATTTATGTCTAAAATTGAAAGGAGCTTCAAGCATATGATATCAGAATCACAACCAATCCTGGGGGAAAAAATCATAAGATGATTGAAATATAAACATTAAGGAAAAGAGCACCTGCACTGCAGAGATAATTTATAAAATATTATTAATAATTATAAATAAGAAAAAAGCATACCTTTGGGTTGCTGCTGCAAAGTCAAGGTTTAGTTGAAGCACATTATGCTCATCCCGGCCATTGCACATGGATGGCACTTTAGACTGAACAAGTTCAGCAAGAATTTGGAGCCCAAGACCCTCATCATTATCAGAAATCAAACCTGTGGCTACTATTTCCAAAAGCCGAGGCAATATTAAAGTGTCCATTGCACTCCAACTCAATATTTTTTTCACAAAAGCAAGGATGATTATAGGAGGAGACATAGCTAGAACCTGAGAAAAAAACAGAATGTTTGTAAGATAGGTAGATAAGATGCAACATGTGAAGCAATATTCCTATGGAATCTACTAGTACCTTGGAACTCAATTTTACTGTTCGATCTTGAGGCAAACTTATTTTAGGTGACATCAACAATATTGCTGTGATTGATGACAATTCTGAAAGGATTTCTTCAGGTAATGGCACTGCACTGCCATAAATGTGCAACAGCAGGTCTACCACCTCAACGGGCTTTGATATATGCAGCGCATCACAATAAGCACATAACTGGTGAAGAAGTTTCAGAGCTCCAAGCGTTGGATCACAAGACTTGGTTTTGCCAGAGACAAAGTCTGCGTGGAAATGCTTCAATGATGTCTAAAAATGCGAAAAAGAGAAAAAATAACAGCTGTGCAGTTGAGAAAACAATTGTGCAAACAGCATAACTTGACAAAAATACACACTTTCATGGCATCCCACAAAACAGCCAATCCACCAGGACGGATCTCAACAACAAGATGAGATATTGTTTCTGAAGTCAAACTCAGCAAAACATCACTAGGAAGAGACTCATTACCCAATGACTGCACCATTAAAAGGAGGACATTCTGAGCACAACTATGGAGTTGATTTTTGACACCTCTCAGCCAGGCAAACACAAGGCGTCCACAACCTTCAGCATCCTGTGAAAGATTTTTAAATTAGTTCAACTGTGGTTTAAAACCTAAAGCAAGGAAAATTCATTCAAAATATGACAGAGACATGCCATTGGCTCATCCTGCAGATGGTTCAGTAACAGGGAAATGAATGCTGCATGGTCTTTCACTTTGCGAGCCAAAAATGCAAAACTGTCTGCAGCAAAATGATTAATATACTTTTTGCGTTTGGAAGACAACATTGGGAGTAAACTAGAAAGGACTGGTCCAATGTTGCGAACCATGCAACGCCATAAAAATTTGAAAAGATATGCTAAGCAGTGGAATGACCATTCTAGAATTTCAGTTTCTTTACAGTCAAGGTAAGATATAATAGTAGATAGAATATCTGGATAAAATGGATAGAAATCTTGCCGAAGATCACGGGCCAAGGCAACAACAATCCTGAAAAAGTAAAAAAGGCATAATTATCTCCTTTTTTATTAATGCAAAGGGTGTAAAGATTTATTCTGTAACAATTGGACTCACTCAAGCAATGTCTGTACTGTCAATGGATCTTTTTTCTTCAGGTGCTCAACAAGTGTTGCTGCCAGCTTCTCTTTAAGTAATAACACTTGGGCCAATGTATGTACATCTTTCACCTCTGAACGAAATTCAATCCATCCTTGAGAGCAATTCAAATCATTCCACTTCTCCACGGCAGCAGCAAAATATGATTCGATTTCTTCCTCATTTTGTTCTTCATACCGATGTCCAATGCGATGGATAACATCGACTTCAATGTTCTCCAAACGGGTATTGAACGGTATGAACTAAAGGGGAAAAAACAAAGGAAAACACATATAAGAACAAACATTGCACATATTAAGAAAATGTGACGACAGAGTGGAAAAAGAAGGAACACTAAACAAGACAGGATGTAATGGTACTTCATTGTAAATAAATTCTAGGAAGGGAAAGGTTTAATAACATTTTAAAACACAAATAATTGCGATAAAAATTGTTAAAATAGTCAAAGAAGGCAGGTATTTTAGACTTATGTCTTCTCCCCGGTACCTTGCATTGAGGTTAAGTTTGTACTTACCCGATGAGTATTAGTTCCTTGGTGTTTTAGAGGCATTGTGATAGATCTAGACGATATTCAATCGCATACAAGTGAAGGCAAAGCTATGTCGATGAATGTACTCCTCTCCAATGTTGGGAACTAATTCCCTTTTTCCAGGAGATACTGCCACCACATGGTGTTGTTGCTGTTGGTAAACCCAACCGTGGTGAAGTCGGGGGGGGGAAGGGGGGGGGCTAGAAAACTCAAGGTATGAAAAATTTAGTTACGTCATAATTGTCATATTTTCGGCAATGTGTCTCATGAAAAATCTTTGGCGCTTTTGTCCGTTTAAAATTGACATCAACGCCAGCAAAACAGCTGATGACACTTGTCACTGGAGCAGTGAGCTGTCAGTTCCAGCCAGCCAAGTTGGATAATGGAGGTCTGCGTGGATTCCATTCAGTCTGCAATCAACGCAGAGAAAGGGGGAGCATCTCGGTTGGAATTGTGCAGCGCACTGAGTGAAGGGGGTCTTACTCCCACACCTGGTTTGCTCAAGGTATTGTCACCATTTTCTGTTTGTACTCTGAAACCCGTTTTTCACCTGTGTTTATTTCAGGCAGTGAAAGAAGCAGTCAGTATTCCTGTATTTTGCATGCTGCGTGCCAGAGGTGGAAATGATTTCGTCTACTCCGCAGCTGAGATCGAAGTAATGAAAACAGATGCACTGCTCCTAAGAGCTGTTGGTGGAGCCGATGGCTTCGTGTTTGGTGCTTTGACACCACAGGGAGGCATTGACATTAAAGCCTGCCAAGACATTCTACAAGTGACTGCACCGTTGCCTGTAACATTCCACAGAGCTATTGATGTTTGTCATGACCCTTTGGGTGCGATGCACATAATTGCAGAATTAGGTAAATCAATTAAAAAGGTTTAAAGTAATATTACTCTTAAATCCTAGAGTTGATTTGCACACAACTTCTCTGCAGGTTTCAAGAGGATTCTCACCAGCGGACAGCAAGATAGTGCAGAAAGGGGAATAGAGCTAATAAAGAACATGGTGTCAAAAGGCAGAGACCAAATTTCTATCATGATTGGAGCTGGAGTAAACAAAAATAATGTGGCTCACATTCTCAAAGAAACTGGAGCCAAGGAGTATCATGGCTCAGCAAGAATTTTCTTATCTGATGCTGTTGCTTCAAATAGGCCTAAAATGGGCCCAGGGGACTCAGCTGCAATTGCTGTTACAGATGCCGAATTGGTGTCACAAATCGTAAAAGAGGCCAAATGTGTTCTACAAGATTGATTCAATACTGTGTCTAGTAAAACGATTTATTGCTATTGTTTGTTTTTAATCTATCTTTTGTATCAAGTAATAAAACTGGTGGAAAAAAGAATATAAAAGTCTCTTAACAGAACTTGCTTACAAGAATAATTAAATCTAATTCAGATCACAGCTTGCTCTAAGGAAACTAAGTTAATGCTCCTCTTCACTCCTTTTGCTTTATAATCACAGTAATGAACAGATTTCTCACAGTCTCCTAATAATGCAAAATCACAGAACTCTCGGCAGTGATTAAACCAAACAGGCAACACAACAATAGTATACAGGGGATATTACAAATAATAGTATATTACTACTTAACTAAACATGTTCTCTCTGGTTAGATGTTATAAATGTCAAAAAACTTAAAATTGATAGGAAAAAAAATTGTCACAAAATTCATAACACCTGAGCAGTCCTTACTTTGATGTCATACTCTAAAACGAAGATAGCTTTTTATCAAACTTGGCACATTTAAATTTTCTATGCACTGCAGAAATTCTTGGGTGTTAGCCGTGTGGCTCCTTATACATTCACGCACTTTTCTTCTGGCTATACCCTGAAGAGAAGGGAAACTCTCCCGCAAGCGGGGTAAGAAATTAAGCCACACTTCTTTGTTTGGCTTATTTTGAATCAAGTTATTAACCTTGGCTTCTAGTCCTGAAAAATCATCACCCAATGATGCTTCTGCAATTAAAAAGTAGCAAAATATAGTAGACTTGGCTTCTATAAAATGCTCCAGAAGTTGGTGGGGACACACAGCACTAAATGGCAGTAAAGCTTTCAGGGCCAGCCCATTGCATTTCAGACAGGCAGCAAGAAGAGCATCTGGCAACTTATTAGAGGGCATACTTCTGTAGTCCACTTCGGCACCAGCAGAAACCAAGCGATCTAGAATGGCGACTTGGCCAACAGGAGGTTGAAGCAATGGGAAAAGCAGAGCTGCAACCAATGGGGAGAGTTCACTTTTCTTCTTTACATTCACAGGGAACCCTGCTTGGATGAGCTTTTCCAGTATAGCAATAGTACGATCCCCAAATTCAGACATCTTGTCCATCAATAAAAAACTCATGGCCCCACATTTTGTATACTTGACATGCGGTTGCATGTCTCGAAATTTGCGGTGAAGAGGCCACATTTTTACTTCAAGAGGGAGATCAGCTTCAAGCAGAATTGACAGACACTCTTCAGATTCAGAATCAATAGCAACACAAAACAATGAGACAGCTCCTGCACTTGGATTTCGACTTGCATTTACCACAGTATTGTGGCATAGGAGAGGCATCAAAATACGTACTATATCAACCCAGCCACCATGCACTGCCAGTGTCAATGCCATGGAATAGTCTTTGGCATACAAATTCGGCTTAGCTCCAAATGATAGCAATAGTTTAACCATTTCACAATTACCCTTTTGACAAGCCATCATTAGCGGAGTGACTCCATCACATGTCCGTCTGTTTGGTTTGGCCCCGGCTTGCAGCAAAATTTTAGCACATTCAAGAGAGTCTTGTTGAACAGCTTCAAAAAGTGGAGTACAGGCAGAACTATCACCAAGGTTCACTTTGGCTCCAATACTAAGCAAATACTGCAATACTTCTTGACGTTTTCCCTCTGCTGCTCGATGGAGTGGGGTCTGCTCATTTATTTCTTCGTGCACATTGATATCACATCCACTGCTAACTAGAAGCTTAACCACATCTAGCGAACCATTGTAGCAGGCAACATGTAGCATGAATGGTTTCATAACAGTTCTGCCACCATTTTCCAACAGTCTCTTAACCACTGGCAAACTTGCTTTTGAGATCACTGAAAGTTCTGCAGCAGTGTCTCCACTATGTGTTCTTTGCAATGGGTTGGTGCGAGAATCTTCTAAGAGTACGTCAATACACTCCAGCCTAAATTTATGACAAAATGCAAATTATCATTAGTACCTCGTAAGTAAACCATGAAAGTTGCAGGGTAATAAAATGTACTGTACTTGTCGTTTGCAGCTGCGACATGGAGGGGTGTCCATCCCCTGTGGTCCATAGTGTCTGGCCTTTTTCCTGCCTGGAGATGGACTCGAAGAAGATCAACGTCTCCATTGCTTGCCGCATAGTTCAATGAAGTTGGTGGGTAGACAAACAGATTATCCCATTCATTCATTTTGAAGATCAGGAAGCGCGCATGTCAAAGGTGCTGTCCTGGTTCTTGGGTGTAAGAAAGGAAATGATTACTTACACTTTAATGAAAATATCAAATAGACTTAATTCACACCCTAGGTGTTAAGAACTGGAGAAAACTACAAAGGACCAACCACAAACACTGCTGAACAACAACCCGAGGGCCTCTGCTCGGTCGTTTAAATGGTTCAAGTGAATCAGAGGGAATACTTAGTCGAGTAAATGAGAGTAAAGTAAAAATGTTCAAATTAAATTCGTACAGTGTCAATGTCCCGCCCACCTGTCAGCTGTCTCAAATTTGTCAACACTACTCTGTAACTCCTGTCATGCCGTCCATACAGTTGCGAAAAGGTGAAAAACAGAAACAAAAAGAACAATGGAACAAATGAAAACATTGGAGGTTATGACAAATTTATAAAGCCATTTCGGAAAAGAAGAGTCCTAGAAAAGGAGTATTGCTTGCAAACAGATGGACCAATCAACTATCATTGTTTTCCATACAAACAAATATTTTTCACCTTTTTTATGTTTGAAAAGAGTTTTAACTTATTCTCGATCAAAGCTTCAAGGGAAGAAATGGAGGACCGCGGTGCGGTGCTGAATTTCTCATGCATTGTGCCTGGCGGGAACTGAAGCAAACGTTTAAACGTTGCGGGGATCGGTTAACGCGATGTTTTTCATTTTAAATATAAATTTACTGAATTGTGATTATCTCTGGAAGCTTGAAATGTGAAATTACTAATCTTGCACTCGACTAGGGTGACTGCGCGGGGGACTTTACAGTCCCAAAGGACACATAAGTGCATTCATAACAGATAAGGATGAAACTCAGTCCCAAAGAACACAAAAGTGCATTCATAACAGATAAGGATGAAACTAGATCCCGTGGCCAGACGTCATGGCCCGGTATACAGTATAAAGCGGTGAAGATAGAAAAAGAACTCATGGATAATGTGTTTTGACCGGTGGAAAGGGGAGGGGAGGGGGAATCTAATCAGGACATTTAAAATAGGGCAACTTCCTGTTTAGAAATCAGCAAGATATGAGCATTCTCCACCACTGATTGTGCCTATGGCAGCCCCTTTCCCGCGCGGTTATTGTCGCTAGGTGTGTCGACACTATTAATTCTTCGGTTTCAATTCAAATTGAACAATTGCATGACTTTTCGGCCTTTGTGTTCGATTCTATTTGCTTCAGTGAGCCCTGTCGTGTTTTCCGATCCGTAGAGCGTCTTGTGGCGGGTGGAGGGGGGGGGGCGTCATCAGCGGGGGAATGACTCTCCGAATCGGGATTCACAAATACAGTGAATTGCTAAAACGGCTGGTTAGACTCCTGGCTGGGCGCCGCGCGCTGCGAATGTGAGAGGCTGCCCCACTGCCCGCCCCGCTGCCCGCCCCCTTGCCCGCCCCCTGGACCATCATCTGGGCCGCAACCGGTTCCCCCCTGCAGAATCCACTCGTCTTGGCATGCACTGCGTGCGGAGGCGAGCAGTACTGAGGGCTGCGCGGACCGCGCGACCGCATTCAGTCGCAGAGCGCATCTCGAGTGGACAAGAGACCAGCGCAGACCCCAAGCCATCGGACCGAACCTCACCTTGCTGGAGATGGACACCGGCATGCTGACCACGATGGCCGCGTGGGCGGCGGTCGCCTTGCTGGTGGCCTGCTTGGGGCTGTACGCCTTCCTGCGCCGCAGCCTCACCTACTGGCGGCGCCGCAAGGTGGCCTTCGCGCCGCCGTCCGTGCCCTTCGGCAACTACGCCGACACCATCCTGGGCAAGAAGAGCCTCGCCATGGTGGTGCACGACATCTACGAGACGCACCGTGACCAGCGCTACGTTGGCACGTACTTCATGGCCATGCCCATGCTGCAGCTGCACGACGTGGACATCATCCGGCAGGTGTTCATCAAGGAGTTCCAGGACTTCAACGGGCGCGGCATGCACTACGACCCGTCCTACGACCCCCTGTCCGGGCACCTCTTCCAGCTGTCGGGGCCGATCTGGAAGAACATGCGCGTCAAGCTGAGCCCCACCTTCACCACGGGCAAGATCAAGTACATGTTCAGCACCATCGGCGACTGCAACGACAACCTGTGCGAGCACATCGACGCCAACCTGGCCGAGGGCCGCGGCGTCTACACGGAGGACATCCGCGACCTGGTGGCGCGCCTCTTCACGGACGTCATCTCGTCCGTGGCGTTCGGCATCGAGAGCAACTCCTTGAAGAACCCGGACTCGGAGTTCCGGCGCATGGGCGCGCGCATCTTCGAGCCCTGCCTCGACGTCAACCTCCGCCACCTGCTCATCTTCTTCGGCGGCGGCATCATGAAGACCTTCAGCATCCGCAGCGTGCCGGCCCACATCCACGACTTCTTCACGCGCATCGTGGACGAGATGGTGGATCACCGCGAGAAGAACAACGTGGAGCGCGCCGACATGCTGAACCTCCTCATCAAGCTCAAGAACGATGGCTTCGTGCCGGTCGACGGTCCTGGCGAGGAGAGGAGTGACTCTCAAGGTGAGCGAGAACACGTGGGCGCAGGGGGCATGACCGAATTCACAGAGGTCGATGTGACACCCGGTGTGTGACCTGTTTCCAGATTCGAGCTCCAAGCAGGTGCAAAAGCTGGAGAAGCACCAAATCGCCGCCCAAGTATTCGTCTTTTTCCTGGCGGGCTTCGAGACCACCTCGACGACGACGTCGTTCACCCTGTACGAGCTGGCCAAGAACCCCGAAATCCAGACTAAGCTGCAGCAGGAGGTCGACGCCGTGTTACAGAAGTGCAACGGCAAGCTCACCTATGAGGCCACCCAGGACATGCACTACATGGACATGGTGATCCAAGGTGAGGAGCAGGCGCTCAGTGGACTTTCCAGCTCCGAGGGCCGCGTCCTTGAGGCTTCCCACAGCTAAGATCCTCGCCTTTGCAGAGACGCTGCGCCACTACCCACCCGTGCCGTTCCTCACGCGCCAGGCCATGGTGAAGCGGCAGCTGCCGCTCACGGACGTGGTCCTGGACAAGGGCATGCGCCTCATGATCCCCGTCTGGTCCATCCACATGGACCCCGAGTACTGGGAGGACCCCACGCGCTACGACCCGACGCGCTTCTCGGAGGAGGCCAAGAGCGCGCGCCACCCCGGCGTGTACATGCCGTTTGGCGACGGCCCCCGCATCTGCCTCGGTAAGTCCTTGGTCTGACACACCGTGGACACTTTGTTTTGAGGCGCCGTGCGTCCACGCAGTACGATGACGTCACTCTCCCATTTCCAGGCATGCGCCTGGGCCTGCTGCAGGTGAAGATGGCCGTGGCGTCCGTGCTGTCCAGGGCCACGGTGACGCTGGCCCCAGGGATGCCTCGGCAGCCGCGGTTCTCGCCCCGCTGCGTCCTCCCCAGCCCCATCGACGGCATCACGCTCACTCTCACCGCGCGGTCATAAACGAACTCGCTCTGTATAGCTCAGCATACATTGCCTCTCCTAACTCGGCCCAGGGTGGGCTGCATTTGTATATATTTTCTTAAGATAGTGATTAAGATACCCTAGTTAAGTAGTACAGGTGGGAAGACACTCCGAGCCGTTGAAAAACCCGGCAGGATGACTCGCTCGGCGCGGCAATTCGGTGCTTTCGGTATTATCGCGGCCGTGGTTGGCGTGCTGACCGCGCTGAACCGCCAGCCTCGTTCCCGCCAATCATCTGCTGTACTACATTGTAGTATGTTTTCCGGCCGACAGCCTTCCGTGGCCGTCCCTCAAGGTCGCCGGTGAAAAAACAAACCGAACGGCCCAACGCTGAGACGCTGGTATTAATTACAGTGGCGGGCCGTGACTAGGTAATGCTAGGCGCCGGGCGTCTCTCTGGTCCGGGCCGCCGCCGCCGCTGCCGGGACCGGCGGGAGCGCCATCGTGCTCTGTTGACCCACCGGATTCCGGTGTTGACCCGAAACACGCGGTCACGCGGTCACCGGTCAGCCACCGCGTGCGCCGCCGATCTGCGCCTCAGTTTCAGAGTGTTGTGAAAAGAGCAATAAAAATCCTCCTATTACACTTATCGCTGTCATTCAATATCCCACCTTTAACCCAGCAGACGGTCGCCAGACGGTCACAATAGACTTTGTGACGCGTTTATGACGGCAATCTGACAGCACACTCGCGGTCGATGGCCGTTCAGATTCAAATTTGTCGTGTGTGTGCGCGCGCGTTGGTCAAGATATCAAAGATGCAAACTGCTGAGCAAAGCCTGGAAATTCCAGGTAGGTTTTCCATATTGTTGTCAGTATAAACACTCCGAGATGGGACAAGGTACGTCAATGCGCGCACCTTGCAACCACTGCAACCCCGGCTTCACTGAGAATCCAAACGCTATGAGTATAGCGTCAATTGGTGCAATGCAAAAGCATTGCACATGAAGTCCGATGCCTTCTTGTTCCCATGCATTAGCATAGGGCATTTTCGGGACGCATTGCACGTAAGGTGCAATATGGCTATCGCATTGCACGTGTGGTGCGATATCTCAGCTGCATTGCACCATACGTGCTATACTCATAGCGTTTGGAATCTCAGTGTTGGCATGCTCTTGGCAACCACCTTATCAGCGATGTTTTGCGTTGCGTCTGCTTCGCTGCTTCGTCCACCGACCTAGTCGCTCTCTCAAACAAACCACCACACTGTAATCCCAACTGGTTTCGTCGTAACTGATACCCGCAAAAACCGCGACTCTTATCTAGCATTGTGTCTGGACTCACAAAGAGGCCGCTCTGATATCTAACCTCTAAGAATAACTTCGAAAAAGTGTTTTCTTTCACATCTCGGATGACTTGCCTTATTTCCGCCGTGGTGCCGTGCCAGTTTGGATTCGGACGGCATGAGTATGCAGGATTTGATAACGACGGCCCATGGCTTCACCATGACCATGACCAACATTTTTATAATCACTCGCCGTTTCGGCCATGCATAACACGTGATTGCAGAGTCGCAGAATTCATGCGTGATCTTCTCGATTCAATTCCGCATTCTCGCAGAGAAACGCCTCCGGTGACACAGAACTACGATGGCGGCGGGGTGCGGGGGATGCGGTAAGGTGTGGTGGCGGCAGGAGAGGGCGTCACCCTGCAAATAAAACGAGCCGTAAAATTACCTCTGTTTATTTCTTGCCCGAAGTTTTCAGGCGTCGTGAGCGACGGGCCAACGCTGTCCTGCAGGGAAAATTCCGCTCAGGTCTTGTTTATTGCCGACTTCGAGACGGTCTCGTTCACCACGGCCTTCGTCGGGCGCCCTGGGGTCCATAAACAGCTTCTGGAGGAGGTGGACGCCGTGCTCAAGGAGCACGACGGCAAGCTTAGCCATGACGTGCAGTCAGGTTGAGGGGGCTAATTTGCCACTGTAGAGACACCGCGCCACTATAGTGGCATATACCCACCCACCACCCCTCTGTCCTTCGGCAGCGTGCGGCACCGGACGCGAGGTGCGCCTTGCAGTGTAGGCAAACCATCGCACACCGGCGGACCAGTGCGGCGTCACGCGGCGTGAGGCGTGGAGGAGAAGACTACGTACCACGTAAAATAGGGACTTGTATGTTTACAGTGACAGTTACACGATCAACTTCAAAGTCTGAATGCAAGCTCAAAAATTTTTTAAATGAGATTCGGAGTGGTATTTGGTGAATAGAGCGACCACATGAGCCATGTAAACGTGGCTGTATTTCAGTTCTGGTGCCGTGTGGGCACCTTCTCTTCCCCTTAGGCTAGCGCCTGAATGTAGGCAACCCATCGTACAAGGCAGAGAGCCCGCTGCAGAGCGCCTGAAGGAGTTTGGCAAACCCTCTTGCCCCTTGGAGTCGGGAGTGAAATGAAGGCCTCATGAAGTGCGGATTTGTGTCTTTTATTGGGACAGTGGAAGGAGCTCTACGAGAATATACAAATAAATAACTACGAACATAAAAGAGCGGGAACATCACAGCACGAAAATAGCCGGGGGCATCGCGAGCCAACCACGCGACCAAACGTGTCTGGGCGTTGCGGCTGCTCGCGAAGGCTGGCAGTTCCAGGATTCCGAAAACGTGGCCAGACTAACGGCACAGATTCTACACTGCAAAGTCAAATCGGCAAAACTTAAGACAGAAAGGAGTTTCTTTGGCGAAATTTTCGGAATCACAGAGCCGCACGGGCACCGCCTTCCGGAGTGGTACAGCTGGGCACGGGTAGGCGCGGGCCTTTACAGCATCGGCTCCGTGGTGGTGTGCATCTCGGGCTCCTGCAGGTAGGCGCTGTAGGCCAGGGCGTGCGCGTCCCACGCCCTCTTGTTCACCCAGTGGCTGCCCCCGCCCACGTAGCCGCTCTGCGCGGGGGCCGCGGGCGCCGACGCGCCGAAGCTGCTGCTGGAGCTGCCCGCCGAGCTGCCCGACGACGCCCCGCCGCCGCCCCCGAAGGACGACGACGACGAGCCCGCGCTGGAGCCCGCACTGGAGCCCGCGCCACCGGTGGGGAAGTAGCTGCCCCCCGTGGGCGCGCCGTAGTCGGAGCTGGGAGGGTTGTAGCTGGAGGCCGGCGAGCTGTAGCTGGAGGCCGGCGGGCTGTAGCTGGAGGCCGGCGGGCTGTAGCTGCTGGCGGGGGTGCCGTAGCTGGTGCTGGGGGGCGCGAACTGCTGCGGGGCCGCGGCGGGGGCTCCGTACCCGGTGCTGGGCGGCCGGTAGCTGGACGTGGGCGCTGGCGAGTTGAACTGCGGCGTGCCGTACTGACTGCTGGGCTGGCTGGGCGCGGGGGCGCCGTACTGGCTGGGGGCGGGGGCACCGTAGCTGCTGCTCGGCCCTGCCGCGGGGGCGCCGTAGCCGCTGCTGGGCTGCTGCGAACCGCCGCCGCCGAAGCCGCTGAACAGGCTGCTCAAGCCACCCTTGCCGCCACCGCCTCCACCAAGGCCGCCAAGGCCTCCCAGACCGCCGCTGAAGACCGACCTCAGCAACATGATCTTGGCGATGATGAGCGCTATGGTGGACGCCTTGAGCGCTAGCGTGGACAGCAAGCCGAGAAGGGGCGCGAGCAGGGCGGCCTTGCCGAGGAGGCCGAACATCATGGCGCCGCCCATCTTGGACATGCCCTTCATCATCTTCTTCATCATCTTGCCGCCGCCCTTGCCTCCCTTGCCACCCTTGCCGCCCTTTCCTCCGCCCTTGCCACCGCCCTTGCCGCCCCCCTTGCCCCCGCCCTTCCCACCGCCACCCTTGCCGCCGCCGCCCTTGCCGCCGCCCCCTTTGCCGCCGCCGCCGCCGAATTTCTGCCGAGCTGCAAGAAGAGAAAGCCTGTCACAACGAGCTCCGCGCATCCCCGAACCTCCCCGCCGTGGCGACACTTACTCTCCACGAGCTCCTCCAGCTCCACGTCGACGGCGTCCACGTCCCTGCCAGTGCCCACGCTGCCGAGGGTGCTGCCGATCCAGGACGGCACCCGGAAGCGGAGGACGTGGCTCTCCACGAACGAGTCCACGTTGTGCTGCATGAGGGCCTCCAGGGCCGTCTCCGAGTCCTCCTCGTCATCCGCCACCCTGGCCTCCAGGACGTGCTCCGAGAGAGGGGGTGGCGCGTCGTCCGTCACGCGCACCAGCGACACGTAGCTTCCGAGCAGGCTGAGCGAAACACGGCAAGTATTTTGGAAAGTTATTATCGGCTACCAGTAATGATTCGAAAAATGACGAACAGCGAACTCACTTGACTCGCTCCATCCGCGACAGCCTGTTGACGAAGACCAGCAGCTTCCGCTGCAGGCAGGTGGCCGAGAACCCCCACAGGCAGTCCGAGACGACGCCCTTGAAGGCGCTCCACGGGCTGGGCGCCTCGGCGGGCTGCAGGGCCGTGGTGGCGGCGGGCTGCGCGCTGAAGGTGGGGACGGGGACGGGGGTGGTGCTGCTGGGGCCGGCCATCGAGTGCAGGGCCTCCAGGGCGGGGTCCAGCTCGTTGCCCCTCTTGGACGTGAAGCGGATGGCCTTGGCGCCTCGCCCTGCAAACACAGCACGTGTTGCTTTCCATCCTCGACGGCAGACTGGCCTCCCCCGATGGAACTCCACTTACCCCCGAACACGTGTGCCGTGTGCACCGTGGCGTTGTCCGCGTACAGGACCATGCTCTGCTTGGCGTGCGGCGGCGCGTCGCCCAGCCGCGCCTTGACCACGTCGGCCAGGCCGGGCCGCTGCTGCTGCTCGTCAGACGACACGGCCGTCGACGTCAGCGTGGCGTCCGTCGTGGTCCGCAGCGTGACGGGGGACTCGGCCACCACGACGTCCACGTCGCGGCTCAGCGGGGCGGACGCGGACGCCGAGGTGCGGCCGAAGCACGCCACCAGGATGACGGCGACGGTCCAGGACGGCGGCGGCGCCATCGCGGACAGCAAGCTCGACGACGCGCGTCTTGGTCGGCGTCGTCGGCGAGGGACGCGTCCTCTCTCGCTCTCGCGAGTGAGTCGCAGGACGCAGGGACTTGCTCGACGCGGAGGCCACGACAAACTGCCGCCCGAGAGGCGGAGTACCTTCTTATATCGACGTGTCGCGGCGACAAGCGCCAGGCGCGGCGCCCTAGGCCCTCCGCGAGGCCGCCACCGAGCCAGGGGGCCGCGGAGCCAGGGCCAGGGTCACGGTGGCGGGGGAGCCAGGGACACCGCACGCCTGAGGTCGTGGCGGTAGGGTAGGAGGTCGCGCCGCCGGCGCCCAGGTTGGCGGCAGGAGGAGGAGAGGCGAGGGATTCAATTTTTACCTCCGAAACAAGGCTTGAAAGCGTTCGAATGCAACGTGTAAACAGAGTTCTCCAATGGGCGTCTGATCCGAGGCGGGCATTTTGCTCCCTCAACGGGCAATTGGTCTTTGGACCTTCCTTTAGCATGCCTCTGTTACGGAGTGCGATTATCAGTCTTAGTTTGGGAGCAGTATTGTCTCAAAGTTGGCCAAAACGCTCAGAAATGTCTTTAAAAAATCATGTTTTGGGTCGATTTTAAGCAGCCACTGCGTCTGATCCAAGGCGGGCATTTTGCTCCCTCAACGGGCAATTGTTCCTTGGACCTTCCTTTAGCATGCCTCTGTTACGGAATGCGATTATCAGTCTTAGTTTGGGAGCAGTATTGTCTCAAAGTTGACCAAAACAGGCACAACGATTTTTCAAAGACATTTCTGAGCGTTTCGGCCAACTTTGAGACAATACTGCTCCCAAACTAAGACTGATAATCACACTCCGTAACAAAGGCATGCTAAAAGAAGGTCCAAATACCAATTGCCTGTTGAAGGAGGACGAAATACCGCCTCGGATCAGACGCAGTGGCTGCTTAAAGTCAGCCCAAAACACGATTTTTCACAGACAATTGTGACCGTTTTGATCAACTTTGCGGCAATACTGCTCCCAAATTAAGGCAGATAATCGCACTCCGTAACAAAGGCATGCTAAAGAAAGGTCTAAAGACCAATTGCCCGTTGAGGGAGGACGGAATACCGCCTCGGATCAGACGCAGTGGATGCCTAAAGTGGGCCCAAAACACGATTTTTCAAAGACATTCGTGACCGTTTTGATCAACTTAAAAGTTGTTCCCGCCAGTGCTCGGCGGGTGGGCCAGCTGGGAAACCGCCGCCACCCCAAGCGACCCCAGTTACCTCGCCGCGACCACTCGAAATTTTTTCGCGACCCCATTTGGGGACCCCAAGGTTGAGAACCGCTGTGACCTATCCGTTAATTTTCCGCGACTGAATGTCGCGTTGGAAAGCCAATTTGGGGCGACGCTCGACGGGTGGCCGCGACATACCGCGGTGCTCTTCCGCCGCGTGGCTTGCCCTCCAGAGAAAGGGGCGCCCCCTCCCCTCCCCCTCCCCCGCACGCACAGCGCATCTCCCGGACCCAGAGCGAGCAAGTGAAATGCGCCCCAAAGCCGCACGCCGTCGCACCGCATCCGCGCATCCGCACCCGCGGTTCGGATCGGAAGCGCGGAGGCTGCCCCGCCCCCGCCCCCGCCCCCGCGGTGGCGGCTGGGTGCCGGCGGGGCGTAGACAAGCGGACGCGCAGACAAGGAGCACACCGCCTGGATGCTGGATGTCGCCTGATGGGACGTGCCCGACGGGGCCGGCGTCACGACGCGACGCGTCGCCGCGGCACTCATTCCCGGCCAATCTGCATCCGCGGCCTCAAGCCGCCCAGCCGCGGCGACGCACGCAAGGAAAGTTGCCGCCTACGCGGCGCGGCCTGCGGTGTACCGGCGGCGTCCTGGCGGTGTGCCCCGGAGCTATCGCCACAATCATACGAATCGTGCCGAAAGGGAAGGCACTGCGCGGTGGACCGGCAACGGCATTTCGGTGACACGTTCCGGATTCGAGCGCGGAGTTTGATGAAAGGGAAAAGACCCTACATTTCTCTGCGTCGATGTAAGGAGTGGTGGTGGCGCCCGCAGGATAGGCAACCCCAAGCACAGCAACGCAGCGAGCCTAATTTCATCTATCTCAATTTAAGTACATCTAGGTTTGCACACGGCTTGAGACAAAGAGTATTGTACCAGGTTGAACTCTGCGCGCCCAGAGGTTCTGCAGTATGAAAATTAATTCTTTACTGTAGGGAAGTTTATTTCCGTGCATCACAGAGATTGCTACAACAGCATCGACGTGTGTTCATCCTATATCCACATTGTAACTGGTTTGAATGCATTTGTATTTTTCGGGCCGCGAGGCACTTTTGTGAACGCAGCAATCTGGTGGAAGGGGGACAGGGCGTGGCAATCCGCCGCGCCGTGTCAACAAACCAACCGTTCAACCGGAGTCCTATCGAGGGAAAGATGTCACGGCATGTCTATTCATCCTCCCCCCTCTCCCCCTCTGTTTCGCGACCGCCGCCTCCGCACTGAAGCCCCGCCGCCGCCGCAGGCGACCCAGGCGCACCCTTCCTCCTCCAGGCAGCAGCCCCGGGCCGCGCACCGCGCCGTCGGCGTGCTCCGCGACTTATAACTTAGCGTGCGCAGAGCGCCTCCCGTTCAGTTGGGTACGGAGCACGGCGACGGACGCAGCGCAACAGCGCAGCAACGCAGCACTCGCAGACATGGCGTGCCGACGGCACCGCTTCGGCCTCATCCTGGGCGCCGTCCTGCTCATCCTCAGCCACCTGTGCAGCGCCGCCCAGGACGCCGCCGTCGTCCCGGAGCCAGCCGCCCCCGGCAGCACCGCCACCCCCGCCAGCGCCGCCACGCACGACGGGAAGGACGGGCAGGACGTCCGCGAGCAGGCCGCACCCGCAGTGGCGGCCCCGCTGGACGCGCCGGCGGCGCAGGGCTGGGGGGTGGAGGTCGAGGACGCCGACAACGAGGTGAGCGAACGCGTCAGGAACAGGGCGTCGTTGAAAGTGGCCGAGTTGGGCATTGCCTGTCACTGAGAACATGCTTGACTCCACGACGCGGTCCCTCCCTTGCCCGCAGACGGCGCTTGACCCCGCCGGACGCCAGGGCCGCTTCATCCCCTGGGCGACGACGGCCAGCCGCGGTGACTCGCCGCACCCCACCATGGCCACGCTCACGCAGCGCGCCTCGCAGCTCGGGGACATCCTACGCCGCGCGGCCAAGTTCCTGTCCGCCTTCGCCTCGGCCACGGTCAGTACAAAGTTCAAACCGCAGGCTGATTCCGCGAGAGGGTGGCACAGTGCGAGAGGGACGGACCGACGGCCGCACTGCGGACATGTCCGTCTTCCCTGCCTGTCTTGCCTACGCTTAGCCGAGCCCTTGCCGCCGTCAACGTCAAAGTGTGTTATCGGTTCGGTACAATAACGCACACCGACGCGGCGCCTTGCCTATCGCCTATTGGCTGGGAAGTCGACCGATCGGCAGAACAACAAAGCGACCGGGCCGGCCGATGCACTTTCGCCGTGAGAAGAGCGATAAAGCATCTGCCTAATTCGGGTCGGACTGCGTCCCGAACTAGAGTCGTCTAATTTGCTTCTAGGCGCAGCATCCCGCATCCAGCACCCCGCTACACTCCATTGTTTCCGCTTTTTTTCTCCGCACTGCTTCGCCGCTTCCGCCAGTGCCTTGCCGAGCTGTGAATGGGTTCGCATCGGCTGATTAAGGAGCAGCGCGCTGCCCCCCCCCCTCCCTTTCCCTCTGGCGGGCTGCTGGCGGGGCGGCGCGCCTAGCGGTCCCGCGTTCCCTCTGGCCGTGCTGCTGGAGGTGTTGCCTACACACTAGGAGGCGCCGCGTTAGTTTTTTCGGTGGAATTTCCCCCTCGATTGAAAACCGCGGGGGACTTGGGCTGCTCGCTCCTGCGCCGCGGTCTTCATCGTCATCGTCCTCATCGGAGTCGTTTCCGGCCGCGGGAGAAAGAACCGCGGCGACGGAAACGCTAATGACGAGTTGGCCCCGCAGGAGGACGACGCCGCCAGCAACGAGGTGGACGTGGACGGGGCGCAGCGGAAGGAGGACCCGCAGGACCCGCAGGACCAGGTCGACGACGAGACTCCCGGCGGCGCGCTCGCCGGCCTCTACTCGGAGTGCCTGCTGCGCCTGTCCGTGCCCTGCGTGCAGCGCAAGCTGCTCCTCTTCCTGGACCGCCTGGGCCGCATGGAGCGCTTCCGCCTCCTGGGCGACTTCCTGACGGTGGTGCGCGTCGAGCCCCGCCACGGGGAGGCCCGCCAGCACGTGCTGGGTGAGTCGCTGATCGAGTCGGCCGCCGCGTCGCCGCCTCACCGGGCCGCCTTTCTAATTGGGGGTCGTTTGTTTGCAGACGAGGACGCCGACGTGACGGACCTGGCCGGCATGGTGGACCGCCTGGTGGACGACTTCTTCGACACCCACGTGCTGCGCTTCTCGCTGCCCGGCACGCTGCGCGTCGGCCGCTCCCCGAAGACCACCGTCGACATCCACCTGGACCGGCCCGGCGGCCACGACGACGACGACGAGGACGTCGTGGAGCAGGGCCGCGCCATGTCGGGCCACCACCGCTACGGTGTCGTGGAGGGCAGGGGCTCCATCCCCTCCATCGGCGGCGGCGGCAACAGCAAGAAGAAGCAGAAGATGATCAAGAAGATCAAGAAGAAGCTCATGAAGCTGCTCATGATGCTCATGTCCGTGATGATGGTCATGGGTCCCATGACGGGCGGCATGGCGGGCAACACGGCGGGCTTGGCACTCATGCTCGGCACGCTCGCCCTCATCATCCTCAAGGCCATGATCATCAAGCAGATGGGCGGCAGCGTGACGCAGCTGTTCGGCAACGTGGGCAACTCGTTCGGCAACCTGGCGGGCATCCCCGGGCTGCCCGGCAACCAGGGCCAGGGCACCAACTACCTGCCGACGGGCACGGGCTCGGGGCCCTACTCCCGCAGCGACTACCAGCAGCCCTACCAGGCCTACCAGCCCTACACCACGTGGGCGGCCAGGTCCGCGGACGACTCCTGGTTCGGCGGCCTGGCCGACCCCATGACCCTCGCCTACCGCGCCTACTCCATCGCCACGCACCTCAAGTGAAAGATGTCCCCCAAACAAATATTTTCACAATACTGCTTGTCTCCGCTTTGAATTGTCGTAGTCTGCCAAAGATGATACTATCACTGGAAAAAGAACAGTCCCCGCCCATACCCCATGCACACGCGACGTCCGCTCGGGCAAGAGGTGTCTCCGGGCCGGTTCTTTTGCCACTGAGAATAAACCCCCCGCCCCCTCATCTGCTTAATTATTCCAACTGTCTGTGATATTGACGCGACAAAGTGGGACGCTCAAGTATCCATCAAACTAGCACAGCCATGGTGCAACATTGTATGAAGGTTATTTATTTTATTTTTATATTTATTGATTTATTTATTTTACACAACTTATTTATTGAATAAAATTCTGTGCAAAAATGAAGTTTTTGATTCTTTACGACTCTTTCCGTCTCAGTCCTCGGTGTGGGCGTCGTCGAACTCCTTGAAGTGCGTGTAGAGCGCCACGTCGCGCAGGCGGTCCACCACGAACACGCAGCCCTTGGCGTCGTAGTACGCGAGGTCGCCGGTGCGCAGCCAGCCGTCCGCGTCCATGGCGTCGTCGTCCTGGTCCAGGTACCCCGCCATGATGGAGGGCGCCCGGAGCAGCAGCTCGCCGACCTGGTGTGGGCCCAGCGTCCGCGCCTTGCCGACGGCCACCACCTTGGCCTCGGCGCCGGGCACCACCATGCCCTGGGTGTCGGGGGGCGCGCCCCGCGGCGCCACCAGCAGCGAGCACGAGGCCTGCGTCAAGCCGTAGGCCTGGCGGCACGGCGCGGCCAGGCGGCGGGTCAGGTCGCGGTGCAGGGCGCGCGGCAGCGGCGCCGCGGCGCACACCACGCCCCGCAGCAGGCCGCGCACGCCGCCACGCGGCACGACGGCGTCCTCGAGCAGGGGGCTGCGCGCCAGCACCGCCGCCTGGCCAGGCACCAACACCAACTGCGTCACCTGCGCAGCAAGAGTACTCAGCCACCGTCGGGGGACCGTGAGGAGCTCCCAGCACAACAAGTACCTTGTGAGCGTGCACGGCGCTAAGGAACAGCTGCTCCCTGAAGTGCGGCATGAGCACCACCTTGACGCCCAGCTTGAGCGCGCCCAGGCACACGCCCAGGCCGAAGGCGTGCGACAGCGGCGCCCCCAGCAGCAGCACGTCGTCGCCGCTCCAGCCGTACCCCGCGGCGTCCGGCTCCCTGCGCGCAGCGGGACAGGATAAGTTGCCTACGCGCCGGCGGAGCGGTGCGCGCTCGGCGGCCTACCCGCACGGCGCTGCGGCGCGCTGCGTTGCTCACCCGAGGAGCTGCACGGTGTACGTGAGGTTGCGGTGGGTGAGGCGCGCGATGCGGCCGCCGCGGCCACACTGCAGCAAGAACGCCACGTGCTGCTCCACCTCCACGGGCCGGAGGATGTCGAGAAGGTTGTCCGTTCCCACCGCCTCCTCCGCTGCGCCGAGAAAAACACGAAAAGTCACATCCGAACACCGAAGTTAAGAAGGCGGCTCGCTCGAACCCCATTGCGGGGAAAAAGGGTCGTAGGGTTCAAATTTTTAGGGGTTCCCAAGAACCCCTATTTTAGAGGTCTGAAAATTCCTTCCCCCCTCTCCAATTTGCTGCAATACCGCTCCCAAACTAAGGCGGATAATCGCACTCCGTAACAAAGGTGTTCTAAAGGAAGGCCCAAAGAGTATCCACCCGTTGAGGGAGAACGATTAGCCACCTTAGATTAGGCGCAGTGGCTGCCTAAAGTCAGGCCAAACCACGATTTCTACACATTTGTTACCGTTTTGACAAACTTTGCTGCAATACTGTTCCCAAACTAAGGCGGATAATCGCACTCCGTAACAAAGGTGTTCTAAAGGAAGGCCCAAAGAGTACCCACCCGTTGAGGGAGAACGATTAGCCACCTTAGATTAGGCGCAGTGGCTGCCTAAAGTCAGGCCAAACCACGATTTCTACACATTAGTTACCGTTTCGACAAACTTTGCTGCAATACCGCTTCCAAACTAAGGCGGAAAATCGCACTCCGTAACAAAGGTGTTCTAAATGAAGGCCCAAAGAGTATCCACCCGTTGAGGGAGAACGATTAACCACCTTAGATTAGGCGCAGTGGCTGCCTAAAGTCAGGCCAAACCACGATTTCTACACATTTGTTACCGTTTCGACAAACTTTGCTGCAATACCGCTTCCAAACTAAGGCGGATAATCGCACTCCGTAACAAAGGTGTTCTAAAGGAAGGCCCAAAGAGTACCCACCCGTTGAGGGAGAACGATTAGCCACCTTAGATTAGACGCAGTGGCTGCTTAAAGTCAGGCCAAACCACGATTTCTACACATTAGTTACCGTTTCGACAAACTTACGCGCCACTCTGGTGAGCAGGTCCTCGTAGGCCACGGCGTGCAGCGAGGCCCGGACGGCGGCAGCGGCAGCAGCAACGTCGCCGTCCCCCGAGTCGTCCGGCGCGTCCGGCGCGGCCCCGGGGAACACGACGACGTGGCGCAGCGTGGGCAGCGAGCGGGCCGCCTCCAGGACGACGGCCAGGGTGGCGCGCGAGCAGAGCGACACGGTGGGCCGCGTGGCGCGCCACGCGCTCACCAGCTCGCCTGGAAACGAATCGAGATTTAGGTTTAGCGGAGACCGCGGAGACCGCGGCGCCAACCTCCGTACCCGTGTTGGAGAGGGCGTTGAGCAGCGAGATCGGCGACCCCAGCAGCAGGTTGGCCACGAGGCACGGCAGCATCTCCCTCCGGTTCTCCATGAAGACGCCAACCACGTCGTGGTGCTGGTCGACGTCGCGGCGCCGCCGCTCTGCCTTGGCGTCGCGCTCCCCCTGGATGTCGTCGAGGAGCACACGGAGCGCGCGCGCCAGGACGAGCGTCTCACCCACCAGGTCGCTGTACGTCGTGGCGTCCCCGGTGGCGACGTCCACCTGCAGCAGGGAAGGCGGTGCTGCAGAGCTTGTTCAAGAGGCACGGCCGTGCTGGCGGTGGCCTACCAGTGCGTCTCGCGAACCGTGGCGCCGCATGCCCCGCAGCAGCACCACGCCCAGGGACTCCTTGGGGAGGGGCGAGGACAGCGGCGGGCCCCGGAGGACGCCGTCAGGGTGCACCACGCTCCCGGAGGCCGCGGCAGCGCCGCCAGGGGCGCCTTCGGGGACGGCGTTGTCGCTTCGTCGAGCCGCGCGGCCGCCCCGTCGCTCGGGCCTCACCGGCGGCGTGCCCTCCATGACGTGGACGAGGAGCGACCGCCGCGTCCGACGCGCACCTGGCGATCGCGACGACTGGAGGCAGTGTCGCAGTCCCCGAAGCAATCAAAAATCGTTTCCCCTGCCGCAGGGAGCGCAGGTGCGCGAGCGTGTTTCCGCGTGCCCCGAGTCCGTGCGTGAGAACCCACTCGCGAGGCAATGTGCTTCTATTATTTACTTTGTGCTGTTGTTTGGAGCCTGATGCGGTGCACTGACGCACCGGCAGTCGCTAAACGACGCGCTGGGAAAGTGTCACTTAGCGTCGGACAAACGGTCGAAGAACGCGGGCCGTATGCAAATACGGACTGTGGCGTTCAAACCCTGGAGGACCCGGCCGAGAAAGTGGCGCCCAAGCAACTGGCGCTCGGAAACAAAGAGGAGGAAACGGAGTGTGGCAAAAATAGTGTCGGAAACAAAGGACCAGAGATTCATGACGGTGATCATGTATAAAGCAATCATTCTTTTATTAGAGAAAATCAAATCATACAGCAAGAAAATAAATATTAAACTTATGTTTGTCATTTGTTTCATCATCACAGCTGATCGTGGCAAATAAATAAATAAATCGAGCAATCGAGATGTGTGATTATTACGTTAAATAAATAAATAAATAATTTTCTGTTCTTGCGAGTGGACTCCCCGTCAGCCTAGTTGACGGGGACGTAGGCCCCGTAGGCCAGGCGGTCTGGCTCCTGGCCCTGCTCCTGCGAGGAGACGCGCCTCCAGTAGTGCCCGCCCGGTCCGGTCGTGTGGATCACCTCGGCGGACTGGCCCTTGGCTGAAAGCAGAAACAAGGACATTGGACATTAATTTTTGTTTTGCTATTTTCAGGTTGTGTCGATCCGTGATTTTGGCTTAAATTAGTCATGGGTGGGACCTGACTGCAGTCAGACCATGGTCATGTGCGAATCTGTCATTCCCGGTGGCAGTCAGCGTAATTAATTCTATACTGCGAGGGACGACTCGGGCCCGAACCCGCAAGCATCGAAACCGTATGATCTACACCGTTGAAAGTCGCCCCGACGCGAGCAGGACCAGTGTTCTATCATTGTGTCTCAAAACGGCGTGCCTACTATCGTCGTACCCGCAGTGTTGACGAGCCCCCGGATGCCTATGACCCCGGCCAGCAGCAGGGCCATGAGGGAGAGGGTGACGGCCTTCCAGGACTGCAGCAGCGACAGCAGCACGGCGCCGGGCAGGATGATGCCCAGGGCGAACACCTTGAGCAGCACCAGGTACCGCACCAGCAGCCTGCGCACCTGCCGCCGCCGTCCTGCAAAGGACGCCAATCATCACCGTCAACAACAAGCAGACCGCGACCGCGGTGTGGGGACAGGGTTCCCGTGACTCTGGCGACGCCAGAGGCTAGCCTCACGTGCCAAACGCCGAGGCCCAAAACAACACTAATGACTTGGTCATTTTTTGATTGCCCCCAGCAGTGCCCTACACTCTGCTCTGCACCCAAGAAGTACCTCACGGAGAACCCCGGGCCACAGGGAAAGGCGACGCCTGTGATGGCGATGGCGTTCCACTCGGCCAGCTTCGACACTTTCATGGGGGCGGCCACACTGCTACACAGAGGCGCCGATTCGTCACCTGTCACGCCGAGTATCGATAAATGCCGTGCTTTCTTCGGCAGCTGCCCCCCTCCCCCCTTCTTGCCGCCACTTGCCCACGGCTCCGGACCGTGTCCGCGGCCAGGGCCAAGCCTCGGCGCCACCGAGCCCCCCCCCCAATTAGCGCCTTCATCCTCCACGGCGCCAACAAGTCCCCCGGGACGTCCGCAAAAAGTAATTACAAGACGCACCTTCACCGACGTTGTCCACCGCCCTGGCGCTCCTGCTGGACTCGCCGCTGGAGTCGCTGCTGGACTCTCCGCTGGAGTCGCTGCTGGACTCTCCGCTGGACTCTCCACTGGACTCTCCGCTGGACTCCAGGCAGCCGGCGGCAGCTTCCTGGCCGCAGTCACCGGCCTCCCGGACGGCGGCGGGCTTCTTCTTGTTGCCGGCCCCGTAGTTGTTGATGGCGTTGACGCCCAGCTTGGTGACGGCCTGCACCAGGATGCCGAACTGCTCGCGCAGGTCGGAGCCGAACTTGGCGTCCTCGCTCTCGCCGGTCAGGCCGTCCACGATGGCGGTGAGGACCTCCTCACCGACGGTCACGTTGGCCTTGTTCTTCTTCCGGGCGAGGTCCTCGTCCAGGACGACGGCGCCCTCCGCGGGGCGTCGCGGCGCCACTTGGTCGGCGAGGCTGCCGTCGGACGGTAGCGGCGTGGCCGCGACGGCCACCAGCAGCGCCGCCAAACACGCCAGGTACATCACGCTCGCCATGTTCACAACCTCCACGACGCGCACTCCACACATTCGACACGGACACTGATTGAGCGGCGCGGCGCCGCGTCTTTATAAGTTGGCGTCGTCGGCGTCGTCGGCGTCGCGGCGCCCCGGGGCTCATTACCATGCAGGCCCTCGGCATTGTTGATTGTCGCTGATGTGTCCACGCGGCCCGCCACGCCCCGCCACGCCCTGGCGGCTTGTCACCTCGATACTCCTGCGCGCCGTGATGATGATCGGTGTGATCGCCCGGCAAGGAAACTCCTAGACGAGCAGGGCCTCCTTCTCGGCGACACGGGGCACGTGGCACACCGCCAGGCATGCCGTCGGGAGGCGCGGATGCGTGTCGCGCCCAGTGTCACACAGTCTCGCACAGTGTCGAGCAGATGGCCGCCGGTACCGAGGAGGCGCTTGCCGCGCATGGTTGTAGATCGCTTAAAATGTCCTCAAATATCTCTTTCGGCTCAACAAAAACGAAAGGCGTCTCTGTTCGATTCGAGCTCTCGATCTAACCGGCGCGTTTCTTAACCAGGGAACCACAGGCGTTGTCACCGACCGGCTAGAGTTTGTGGTTAGTGCATGGGTGCGGCGGCCCGGCGAAAAAAAAATGCCCAGGGCTTTTTATGTCGGATTCGGATTAAAGTGATCGCGGGGCGACGCTTTCTCCGCCGGGGGCGCCAAGTTCGCCACTAGAACAGTCGGCCCGACTCGGCGCGACACTGGCAGGCACACGTTGGCAGTGATTGAATATGGAAGGGGTCGCGGGCAGCGCGCGGCCCGCCGATTTATTCATTGGATTGTAACTGTATTCGGGGAGCCGAGGAAGGCCGAGGATGGGAGTGGCTCGCCGAATCGGCCCCGGAAGCCCGGGGACCAAAAGCCACGCTCGCAAGGGGTGGAGTGGAGGCAGTGAGAACACTCTTTCAATAAATACTTTATTGTACAAAATCATTGAGCGACGTGCCAGAAATAAATAGTCTTATGCCTAATCGCCTATCTTAAAATAAATACAAAATCAGTCCTGTCGCAGTCACGTGTCGATTTGAAATCGAAGGTCGATTTTCAGCATTGCCTTCGTTCATTCGTCAGACCCAACCATCTGCAGACAGCAGCGGAGGGCTCAGTCGCGGCCTTTCAAGTCTTGTTTCTCGTAATCATGTCATTTGACTTTTTACTGCAGGATATACACGCAACAGGTTCTTGCAGTCGGTGCTAGGACTGGTTCAATATTTAAACAGATCATTTTTCTCACTTTTAAACGTCGACATCTTTGTTTTGTTTTTTGTGTCCGTCACTTTGTCTTACAGTCGAGGTACACCCACTGATTCTTCAGAGAAACTGCAAAACGCTTTTCCTCCTGAGGTCCGACTCTTTGGCTGAGATCTCTAGCTCCACATGGTTGTCCGTCTCGGAGATGACGCCGGCTTGGACTAGCACGAGAAGTCGGGGCACACGATGTGCTTGAAGCTGGCGTGCATCAACAGGACGAACTCGTACCCCAGCAGGTACAAGATCCTGCCGATCTTGACGGCGTCCATGAGCGTCTTGCCGCTGCCGCTCGACCGCCCCGCTGCGCCGCGTCCACTCAGCTCACTTCCCCCAGCGCCACGAGGGGCGTGTTCGTGGAGCGTGGGGTCGCCGTCGTCGTCCGGGTCGTGTTCCCGCGGCCTCGGGGGCGGCCCGGGCGACGCTACGAGTAGGCCCGGTAGGCGACGGTCCGAGGGGCCTGGGACGCGGGGCCGGCCAGGTCCTCGCCCACGCTCACGGGCTTGGCCACGACGAAGGCCGGGTTGACCTGCGGCCGGACCGTCGAGGGCGCCGCCGTGATGCCCTCCCAGGACGACCCGGGCCCCGTCAGCGACAGCACGTCGGAGGGCAGCGGCTCCCGGAAGGACACGGGGTGCACGAGCAGCTGCGGCATCCGCGCCAGCGCGTGCATGGAGCGCGGCCCCGCCACCACGCCGCCGCCGGACTCGTACAGGCCGGCCAGCCCCGCCACGCCCGCCACGCCGTCGTCGGCCTCCTCGGCCGCGGAGAGCTGCGGCACAAGCCAAGTCAGAAAATGAGTCGTCTCTTACCCATGCTTCCCGAAGCACTGTGTCAAACCCTTACCTGGAAGCTGCGTGCCGCAGGGTCGTCGTGGCTGGCGTACTTCCTCGGCGCCGTGCTGCTGCTGCTGCTGCTCGCTCCGTTGGCCGCCTCGTCGCCGTTGCTGGCCGTGTAGTCCGTCTCCGAGGGCACCAAGTCGGACGCGATGGCGTACTTGGCGCGCCCGTCCTGGCCCTTGACGTACTGCAGGTTGCGAATGAGCAGGCTGTCGTAGTTGGCCGCGCCGACGGTGCTGCCCGACGACGCCTTCTCGTCCTCGGCCTTCTTGGAGTGGTGCGAGACCTGCGCCGACTCCTGCAGGCTGCGCGGGAACTGCGTGATGTAGGTGGGGCCCGGCGGCGCGCCCAGGGCGCTACTGCCCACGCCGCTGGCCGTGCTGGCCGACAGCGTGCTCTCGTCCTTGGCGCGGCCGTACAGACCGTAGCCGGCCGCGGGGCCCGAGGGCTCGTGGTGCAGCTCTGCGGAGTGCGAGTGGCCGTGCGTGTAGATGGGCTTGCTGATGATCTCGTACGTCGTCTGCTTCTGCGAGTGGCCGCCGCCACCGCCCCCGCCGCCGCCGTTCATGCCGGACAGCGCGGACAGCACGAGCGACAGCATGGACAGCATGAGGGCCTTGCCGGCCATGGCGGCCAGCGCGGACAGCCCCATGGTGAGCGTGGAGCCGCCCATCATCATGCCCGCGCCCATCAGCTGCTGCCAGATGCCGTTCTTCCTGCGTCCTGCCGAGGGGAACGCCGGTGTCAAGTCCACGTCTCAAGGCGGTCGCACTTCAAAAACACAGGAAAACGAAGCTTACGTGCAAGCCTACCTGTGGCGTCGCCGTCGCCGTCTCCCAGCGCCCTGCGGAGGCTGGCCACAGGCTGCAGGTCCAGCAGGTGCACCTGCACGGTGTGTGAGTCCAGGAAGTTGCCAAAGCGCGTCATGAGGTACTCGTCCAGGCGGCGGTCAGCGTGGCTGTCCGAGGCCAAGGACCGCACCAGGTCGACGGGGAGGTCGAGGCCGGCCCCCGCGGCCGCGTCCTGCTGGCGGTGGATGGTGACGCCGGGCAGCAGGTCGTAGGACGCGGGTACGGCCATGCGGCTCAGCACGCTCAGGGCGTCCAGCTTGAGGCACGTCATCGTGTAGCGCGCGGCGCAGCCTCGCTGCACAGCGGCGTGGGCCACGCCCAGGGTGTCACCAGCAGCCGCGCTGCAAGCGGTAGCCGTTAAGGAAAACGGTGACAAAACGAAGGGAGTTGGCCACTTCGCGCCTAGTTTGTTGACAAGTCGGGTCGTGGGGGGCAGTAATTTCACCTGTTATTGCTGCTGCTCTCGTTGAGGGCGTTGCCGTCCACCTCCACGGCCTTGTCGGCGGCGGGCGCGGCCAGGGCCACGGCGTAAGACGCGGGCGCCCCGAGCAGCGCCAGGGCCGCCAGGACCAGCCCCTGCAACGGCGCCATCCTGGACGACGACGACCACCAATAGGATCAGCAGGACCACCGCGGCGCGCTCCGGTCACCCACACACCACTAAATCCAGAGGGATGCACTGACACACAGACACACGCACACACACACACGCGCGCGCGCACGGACGCACTGACACTCCGCGGCCCGGTCCGGTGCTAAGGGCGTGAAGGGCAGACGGCGGCGACAACGGCACTGATACCCCGGCCGGCCGGCGCGCCACTTTTATCGCTTCCGATACCAGCCGGGCGTCCTTCGCGGTCCTTCGCGGTCCTTCGCCCCTCCAAACGCGACGCCCCCGCACGGCCCGCCCGATTCGATTCGCGAGAAATGCAAGTGAAAAGTGAAGCGGCGCGTAGGACGGAGGGCGGGGCGGGCGGGGCGGCTCAAGGTCCTGCGCAGCCCTTTCCTCACGGGCCTGCCCCAGGCCTGGCCTACGACCACCACCGCCGAGACTGCCGGGGAAGGGAGAGCGTCTTCATCGGTCACGGTTACATCGATGGTGACGGGCCGGGCGGCGGGGCTTGCCGTGGGGCTCGCGGGGCCGCGACTCGATGCACTGCAAGTCCAGGCAGGGCGCATAGGACTCGGGGTACAACATGTTTGCCCTTTCAACCGAATATGCTGATGCCTCCTAAACCGTTTCTTTCAAGAAAAACGAAATCTTTCTTTAACTAAAAATTTCTAGAGTTGGTCGTTGCCTGGCAGTGCGGCTTGGGTCGCACAGTGGTTTTGGTCTCGTCTATCAGACACGCTGAACACCAGCGGGAACTTTGTTTCTGTTTGTGTCTTTGGCCCGTTGCCCGATAAGCACTTCATCCCCGAGCCCGACACGTAAACACTTGTTTTTGGACGTCGCCTGGCGCCGCTCTCGGCCTCACGGCAGGATGGCCGCGGCGTCGGGCACGCGGACGGCCCAGGGCGGCCGAGGGAAAGAGAGAGGGAGACAGAAGGAAATTGGCCGCCGCCGATCGACGCGCGACGCGGCGCATCGCCTCGCGGTGGCGCGACGTCGTCGTCGTCGTCCTCGCCGGCGCCGCGATTTCGCGGGCCGCCCCACCCCGCCCCGCCCCGGCGGTACGACCACGCCAATAACAATCGGACGGGTGGCGATGTCCGCTGACCACACGCAGCCGAGCGCGTCCAGCACCACGGCGTGTGGCGGCGCGGGGCGGGGCGGGGCGGAGAGCATGGCTGATGCACTGTGAAATAGCGCACCAGACACAAAAAGGGCGTGCATTGAAGAAGCGTGCCGCGGCGCCGCGATCGCCGCAGAAAGTGTGGTCACTCCCTTGTCCGGCGTTGTTGTGTGCCTTGCCCGGCCCTCGGCCTTGCCTTTTCAGAGGCGGGAAGGAGACGAAAAAGTGTCAAGTGGAGACTGGGCACCGCGGGGCACCGCCACTACCGCGGAAGGGAACGAAAGGAAAGGAAAGCAGCCGCCGCGGCACTTTTTGACGCGCGAGGCGCCATCGAGGGCTGCCCGATCACATTCCGCGGGGAGGGGCCCTTGCGCCCCGCAGACTGAGAATCGTCTACGTCGCTCAGTCTCGCACGCCCCACCAGATCCGGAACTCCAGATCCGGACCCCCAGAGCCCGGGCCCCCGGATCCGAACCCTCGGATCCGGACCCCCGGATTCGGCCCTTCGGATCTGGAACCCCGGATCCGGACCCACGGACCCGGGGCACCGGGGTCCAAGGGGCCGGATCCGGGGGTCCGTATCCGAGAGTTCGGATCCGGGGTTCCAGATCCGCGGGGCCGGATCCGAGACTCCGGATCCGGGGGTCTGGATCCGAGGGTTCGGATCCGGGGGTCTGGATCCGGGGTCCGGATCCGGAGGTACGGATCCGGGAGTCCGGGGGTCCGGATCCGGAGGTCCGGATCCGGGGTTCCAGATCCGAGGGGCCGGATCCGGGGGTCCGGGTGTCCGGATCCGAGGGTTCGGATCCGGGGGGTCCGGATCCGAGGGCCCGGATCCGGGGGTCCGGATCCGGAGGTCCGGGGATCCGGATCTAGGGGTCCGGACCCCCGGATCCGGACCACCGGATCCGGAACTCCGGATCCGGACCCCCGGACCCCGGGCCCCCGGTACGAACCCTCGGAACCGGACCCCCGGATCCGGCCCCTCGGATCTGGAACCCCGGATCCGGACTTCCGGATCCGGACCCCCGGATCCGGACCCCCGGATCCGGACCCCCAGATCCGGACCCCCGGATCCGGCCCCCCGGATCCGGACCCCCGGATCTGGCCCCCCAGATCCGGCCCCCCGGATCCGGCCCCCCGGATCCGGACCCCCGGATCCGGACCCCCGGACCCCGAGGCCCGGGTACGTGGGTCCGGATCCCCGGATCCGGACCCCCAGATCCGGACCCCCGGATCCGGACCCCCGGATCCGGACCCCCGGATCCGGACCCCCGGACCCCGGGGCCCCGGGTACGTGGGTCCGGATCCGGGGTTCCAGATCCGAGGGGCCGGATCCGGGGGTCCGGATCCGATGGGCCGGATCCGGGGGTCCGGATCCGAGGGTTCGGACCCGGGGGGCCCGGGGTCCGGGGGTCCGGACCTGGAGTTCCGGATCCGGTGGTCCGGATCCGGGGGTCCGGACCCCTAGATCCGGATCCCCGTACATCCGGATCCGGACCCCCGGATCCGGGCCCTCGGATCCGGACCCCCGGATCCGGCCCCTCCGATCCGGACCCCCGGATCCGGACCAACGGATCCGGAACTCCAGGTCCGGACCCCCGGACCCCGGGCCCCCGGATCCGAACCCTCGGATCCGGACCCCCGGATCCGGCCCCTCGGATCCGGACCCCGGATCCGAACCCTCGGATCCGGACCCCCAGATCCGGCCCTCCGGATCCGAGGGTCCGGATCCGAGGGCCCGGATCCGGGGGTCCGGATCCGGAGATCCATAATCGGTGGTCCGGATCCGGGGGTCCGGATCCGAGACTCCGGAACCGGACCCCTTGACCCCGGGGCCCCCGGATCCGAACCCTCGGATCCGGACCCCCGGATCCGGCCCCTCGGATCTGGAACCCTGGATCCGGACCCCCGGATCCGGACCCTCGGATCCGGATCCGGTGGCCCGGATCCGGCGGTCCGGACCCGGGGTCTCCAGATCCGGGGGTCCGGGGATCCGGATCTAGGGGTCCGGACCCCCGGATCCGGACCACCGGATCCGGAACTCCGGATCCGGACCCCCGGACCCCGGGCCCCCGGTACGAACCCTCGGAACCGGACCCCCGGATCCGGCCCCTCGGATCTGGAACCCGGATCCGGACTTCCGGATCCGGACCCCGGATCCGGACCCCCGGATCCGGACCCCCAGATCCGGACCCCCGGATCCGGCCCCCCGGGATCCGGACCCCCGGATCCGGACCCCCAGATCCGGACCCCGGATCCGGACCCCCGGATCCGGACCCCCGGATCCGGACCCCCGGACCCCGAGGCCCCGGGTACGTGGGTCCGGATCCCCGGATCCGGACCCCCAGATCCGGACCCCCGGATCCGGACCCCCGGATCCGGACCCCCGGATCCGGCCCCCCGGACCCCGGGGCCCCCGGGTACGTGGGTCCGGATCCGGGGTTCCAGATCCGAGGGGCCGGATCCGGGGGTCCGGATCCGATGGGCCGGATCCGGGGGTCCGGATCCGAGGGTTCGGATCCGGGGGCCCGGGGTCCGGGGTCCGGACCTGGAGTTCCGGATCCGGTGGTCCGGATCCGGGGGTCCGGACCCCTAGATCCGGATCCCTGTACATCCGGATCCGGATCCCCGGATCCGGGCCCTCGGATCCGGACCCCCGGATCCGGCCCCTCCGATCCGGACCCCCGGATCCGGACCAACGGATCCGGAACTCCAGGTCCGGACCCCCGGACCCCGGGCCCCCGGATCCGAACCCTCGGATCCGGACCCCCGGATCCGGCCCCTCGGATCCGGACCCCCGGATCCGAACCCTCGGATCCGGACCCCCAGATCCGGCCCTCCGGATCCGAGGGTCCGGATCCGAGGGCCCGGATCCGGGGGTCCGGATCCGGAGATCCATAATCGGTGGTCCGGATCCGGGGGTCCGGATCCGAGACTCCGGAACCGGACCCCTTGACTCCGGGCCCCCGGATCCGAACCCTCGGATCCGGACCCCCGGATCCGGCCCCTCGGATCTGGAACCCTGGATCCGGACCCCCGGATCCGGACCCTCGGATCCGGATCCGGTGGCCCGGATCCGGCGGTCCGGATCCGGGTCTCCAGATCCGGGGGTCCGGATCCGAGGGCCCGGATCCGGGGGTCCGGATCCGGAGGTCCGGGGAACTGGATCTAGGGGTCCGGCCCCCCGGATCCGGACCACCGGATCCGGAACTCCAGATCCGGACCCCCGGAGCCCGGGCCCCCGGATCCGAACCCTCGGATCCGGACCCCCGGATTCGGCCCTTCGGATCTGGAACCCCGGATCCGGCCCCACGGACCCGGGGCCCCGGGGTCCAAGGGGCCGGATCCGGGGGTCCGGGGGTCCGTATCCGAGAGTTCGGATCCGGGGTTCCAGATCCGCGGGGCCGGATCCGAGACTCCGGATCCGTGGGTCTGGATCCGAGGGTTCGGATCCGGGGGTCTGGATCCGGGGTCCGGATCCGGAGGTACGGATCCGGGGTCCGGATCCGGAGGTACGGACCCGGGGGTCCGG